CTAGCGTTTCAAAAAATGTCCAGCTTACGGTGTAGGTTAAGAAGGGGATAATATACATTGCAGGAGGTTGACACAGGTTGGCGGGCTTGCTAAAGGAACGAGGACACGCGAATCTAAAACACACAATGTCTTGATTTTGGAGCGGTGGCTATTCCATGTTATAGCCTCTTCTGAGGGGTCACTTTATCAAAGACGATGTGGTCTATATGCTTAGATGATTCAAGCCCCCTACATCTGAAACCATGTTTGTCTCCTCGGGACTACGAAATCGGAAGCTGTTGGGAGAATAACTAGGCGGAGCTTTGCGCCAAAAAGGCTCCTCGTATTCGCCGGCATCCTGCTCAGGCAGTCCACGACTGGGTTGAGGCCCAGATCCAGCAGTAGCACTGAGTGTCGCCGGCACGGTAGGGTGCACTATATGCCAATCAGCACTGTTCTCTAAAAGGCACGCAGGTCAAGGGTGCGGTAGGGTCCGAGTTGAGTCGCAACGGCATAATTTGACGGCATGTAAAAGCAAGTATTACCAACGCGGCCAAAAACTACACCATCTCAGGGACGATGACAAGCGTGAATGCGGAGCCCAAGAAACAGTGGTCCACGTCCTAGTGGACCGCCCAAAAGGTGACAATCGCGCCTTTAGGGTTGCCCCAGTCCTTGTAATAAAGCTCGGCTCCATCTCGAAGCTTCAGGTAGGGCATGGCTGGATAACAGTGTTCTCAGTAAGTATTCAATGACTTGGTCTGACGTTCTAAATGCCTGCACTCTGCTAGCCTCATTATATAGTTAGCATCGACAAGTGGAAGAGAGTTACATGCTGTGCATTGTCATGACATCATCGCAATGTAGCCATCACTGTTGTCAGCATCACCTGCTTAAGTTGCCAGATAGTTTAATCACCTGCTCTGTCTGTACCGTCACTCAAATTTTCTTGATTTGTCTAAATGCAAAACCCTCAAATTCTGAGGGGTATTTAATCCCCAGTATAACTCCATCTCTAGTAGACCTAGGCAAAATCCAACCCAGGACACCCACCAAAGCCTAAGCCTAGCCTAGAACCTAACTAGGCCACCTAGTTAGGCTACCTAGGTTATTCTATTTTAGTACAATTTCCCTAAGCTATGCTAAGACATATAATTCTTATTCTACTCAAATAAAATACTTATTTATACCTGTTCTAGTTATCTCTATAGTTTTAATTAATATATAGCCCTTAAATATGTAAACCTTAACTTCTTAGGTAATTTAGCTATGCCTTAGACTCTTAATAAATTAATACTAACTTTCTGCTCCTCTAAAAATTAAGTGATAATTAGAGTGGCATAACCGACCCGCAAAAATCGAACCCAAACCTCACCGAACTCACAGCGGTGTGGGTTCGAGGGTAAGCCTAGGGAATTGCTTTAGGTTTGGTTTCTATACCCTAGAACTGTTTCAGCCTTTCAGGTTTGGTTAAAACTGTTTGGTTATTTCTTGCTTACTAATACCTAATTTCTAGGCTTTAGCTAATAACTTTTATATTACTAGATAGCCCAGATTCAGGGCTATCTAGTGATATAAATATTAATTTAGTATACCCAGTGGTTACTAAGATATTAAGGAATAATCACTTTTCTCATGAGTTGGTATGAAAGTGGTGTGGATATATATATTATATAAGGGCATTAAGGTCCGACAACCACCATGGTTTAGATATATTTTCAACCATCACCTATTCAGACCTATAGATATTGAATTGATATTTTAAATATAGCTTAGTATAATGATAATTACTATATATTCATATAAAAATTATAATTTTATATAAGCATGCTTGATAGGCTGAGAGAATAGGCCTAAGGTAGGATAAATTGAATTCTAAAAACTATTGAAATTTTAATTATTGCCAAGGCATACTGCTGGCCTAGATAGGTGAGTAAGGGCCTAGCTATACCTAGCTAGGCATAGTGGCGGGTTTTTGCAGTGAAACCACAACCAAATTGCACTGGGTCTGGTTTGGTTGTGAGTTCTAAAATTTGAACCCGAAACTGCAGCAGTTTGGGTCTAACTATGGTTGAACTCGCCCAAACTCGCACCAAATGCAACTCTAGTAATAATCTGTTCTGGATAAATTCAGTGCAAGTTACTTATTGCTAAGAACAGCATCCCTACCACAGGGCACTAAATATGAGTGTAAGGCAGATCGCGAGTGCTGGTAAGCTCGAGCACTCAAGCGGGCCTTGCCCGCTACACCTATGACCTGAAGCATCATAGCCACAGGCACCTCGCCCCCACAAATACGACATGAAGTGGTACGGTGGTGACAGTTAATTCCTTTTCTTAGTCACTTTTCTTTCACAGCCCATCACTCTCCAGCATTAAATTTCATCCTAATCAGCCCAGATGGCTCAAAGTTTTATTTTCAGGGACCGGCTAAGTCACTTATTCAAGAAGAAACCATCAAGCAGCCCAGTTTCAAGTGAATATTCTATAATCCTCGTTGATGCACCAACATCCGAATCGGTCAGAACCCTGCTAGCAATGCTGGTACACCCAGTGTGACCCCTTCTGTCTCACAGCGCGCCGATTCTCAGCAAAAGACAGCCACAGCCCCGCCACCTGCAGCAAGCCAGAACAAAACTCAACTTTCTGATTCAGCGCCATCTGCAGCCGCGCCCGCTCAATCTAGGACCCTAGGGCGACGAGACAGACAACCCTGGTGGGGAATAACATTTTTGAAGGCGCGGCCAGCTTTCGGACCGGAACGTCCTCTAGAGCAATAACAAGGGACGCAGAAGAAGAATCTCTTCAGACAGCAAAAAAAGGAAGGGGTACCTAGTGGTAATACTAAGCAATCTTGAGTAAGGAGCAAGGAGACAGCAAGAAGGGTGATGTACTAGAGTTCTAAGTCTGAGTTGGCAAGAAATTTTGGCTGGTGTTTGACCCTGGTGAGGGAGGCAGTACCCTTAATAGAAGCAGAGATTCTCTGTTTTATGATTTCACAAGCAGATTACATGGCCAATGGGGACGCGGTGCAGATTTTAGACCTAGTTACTTTGGTAATTAGTTGTTTTACTTGGAGAAATGGGCCAGCGGAAGCGAGTATCCAGTCCTGTCTTAGTTATATAATCTAGAGCAAAGGTGAGTGGTTAAGTGTCAGGAGGTTAGCAGCAGGGTGTGATACGCAGTGGTGTTACATGTATAGGGTTGCATAAGGAATGTTAATGGCGAGAAGTAGGGCGTCAACTAGAAGATCCCTATCAAGAGTGAGGATAAACTAGAGAAGATCCTGGAGGTGGCGCGGGTGGTCATTAGAGAGTGCTATATCTGGATGGACGTCCTCTGCCTGGACCAAAGACGCAAGAACGAGATAGAAGTCACCCAGATGAAAGCTTACTTTGGTCCAAGCGCGTGTGGACCCTTCAGGAAGGGGTCATTCCAGACAATGCTTTCTTCTGCACACCAGAGAGATACATGACCTCAGCCAGCACCTTCTTCCAGTCTGCTAGGCTTTATAAGCAAATTGCAAAGCTCTTCCTCAATCTGAGTTTCATGGAAGGATTTAGAATTAACTCTGAACTTCCAGAAGAGCAAGCTTTACAAGATGTTGAAGCTCAGGCAGCTGTACTGTACCAGTGATATCTCATTCTGGCACCTGATACAGGCTATGAGGTCAAGGGAATGCACCTATAAATAAGACAGGGTCTTCAGGGTGTGTGGCAGCGTGCATGAGACGATCCCCTTCATCAGCTATGACCGCAGCGTCCAGGGAGTTTTAGACGACCTCTTCAAGGCTTATGTAAATGATGGGGATTTAGTTGTTTCTGAGGATGGGTAAACTACCTCGGCAGGATTCATCACGTACTACACTACACCATTGGAGAGAAGATCACTGTTGTCAGGGATGAACATCGCTGCGCTGCCCAGGAGTGGAAGAAGGAGCACGATTACTGCAAACATGGTTGAGTTTGTGATGCCAAAGAAAGAAGATTCCAGTGAGACTTGGCTGAAGGAATTATAAACACAGGGAACAAGATGCGAATTGGCGTATCTCGACTATTTAATGTCATGGCTCCCAACTGGAGATCTTTGGTCAAACCAGGTATTTCTTGATTTTGAAAGTAGCGAACTTAATACATCCACATCATGCTTTATGGATCAAAACAGTACATCCACTCGGATGAGCTATCGTCCCATGGCAGCATGTTCGGGCCGGCAGTCGTGGTTCCGCTGACTCAGCAGGTTTTCCCTCTTGAGGTAACTACCTTAAACTTAATCGGCAGGTCAGGACGTCAGGTTCCCACGCAGCCCAATTTTTGGATTGGCGGTCATGGCTGGCGACTCCGAAACTGACACCCGTGCTCGAAACGGGGCCCCACAAAAAAGGAGCTACCAAGAAGGCTGCCCTTCGAGCACGGATAGTTAAGAATGTTCTGAGTTCTGGTGGAGCTTTTCTTAAGCACGGTGCCTGGCTTCGGGGCTACCCTCCCACAACCGAAACTGCCGCTTAGTCAATCATCATATCTAACGTATTTCCTGGGCGAGCGGGACACCCGACCGAGCGGGACACCTCTATATCCCACATAAAATGGCACATATCAAGGCTTCCATATCTCAACAACCAAGCATCTACAGGGTCTGAGATTTGATAGGAGGTGTTAGTATAATCATACAGAGTTATATTTATAAGCCACAGCCTTCTAGTATATGTGAATACTCAGGTAACATAAATTACATTAGTATTTTTGGTGAAATTAGCTTTTTAGACATTAAGAGAGAAGGATGGAATTTTAGGGCCATGCAAAAAAGTATTCATATACTCTAATCTGTATATAGTCTAAATATCTTGCTTATATTGTAGCATATATGGACGTGGTTGAGATATCAAAGCCTTGAAGAGTGCTATTCTATATGGAATACAGAGGTGTCCCGCTCGGTCGGGTGTCCCGCTCGCCCGGGAAATACGTTAAGTTAACTAACTAGTCCCGTCACTGCTTAACAGAGTCTCTGCAGTCTTTGGCACCGGGGAGCCCAACTGCATAGATAATAGATACATCGGGTGCAAAAAGGGCGAATTTCCGAGGTGAACCTTCAGATCTCGACATATAACCCCAGTATCGCGCCCCCAAGATGGTCAAGTCTCGACCTCACAGAAACAAACAGCATGTCGCTATTACCGCTCCGATCAACCAACAGACGGACCGCCCACTCCACGTTCTGGGCTGGGAAATGGAAGGCCTACATTGTGCCCATGGTATTGACTAGCTTCTTACTCCAGCTGCTCTTCCTCGGCAACATGTCATATCTCTTCGGCGCCCTGCTCAAGTCAACCACCCGCATGCACAATCTCAAGATCCTTGCCATCGACTTTGACGGCGGTGACATCGGAAAGGCCATATCCAGCGCCTACAGCAACTTGAAGTCTGACGAGTTTCCGAGCCTCGAATTTAGCTCATCGTCAGAGTACCAGACGCCCGAGTCAGTCCGCGAGGCTGTCTGCGATCGTGGCTATTGGGGCGCCGTCTATACCCATTCTGGCGCATCCGAACGGCTCCTCACTGCGATCGAAGGCGATAACACCACGGTCTACAATCCCAGCGATGCCGTCACCTATATCTTCAATGGCGCCTATTATCCTGCCGTTAGCTCATCCTTCAAGGGCAGCCTGCAAACTCTCCTCAGCGTTGCGTCCAAACTTTACCCTTTCGCGTCTCCAGATGCCTTGAAAGCCGTCAACATGACCAACCCGATGTCCGCAGGCGCTCTTCTCAACCCTTTTGAAGGAACCGCTTGGGATATCATGCCCACCAACCAAGGAACTAGAGTTCTCCTAAACACCGTGTCAATGGTGATGCCGATACTCATGCAGTTCTTTTTCCAAATGGCCTTGAATGGCGTTATGGGCAACGCGAAGGTACTAGAGACCCAGTCCAAGCGCGACATCTACGTCTTCCGACTAGGTTCGAGCAAGGTCTACACCTTCATTTCTGCTCTAGTAACGACTGGTTATTTCTGGGCGTTCCGCGAGGGTTGGGGTGTGACATCTGGCCAATTCTTCGAGACGTGGATGTGCATCTGGTTCTACATGGACATCAACTATCTTCTTCTCGATACCGTCATCGGCACCGTCATTCCTATGCAGTTCTTTTCTTTCTTCCTCCTCACATGGATCATCGTGAACATCGCTTCGACCGTCTACCCGTTCGACCTCACACCAGGCTTTTACCACTGGAGCTGGGCCTTACCCGCGCACAATATCTGGCTCTTGCTTGTCGGAATTTGGTCCGGCTGCCGTTCGAGCCTCGATGAAACTCTACCTATTCTGTTCGCTTGGTGGCTTGTCGTCCACTTCAGCAGTGCTTGGTCAGTCCGAAGGAGGTGCTTGATGGCTGAGGCTGAGGCTGAGGCACAGCGTGCAAGGCCCACAGGCGATAAGTTCACTCAGAGCCAACAATCTGTGCTTGGGAGGATGTCGACCCGAGCCTCAGGGCAAGCTGCGAAAGAGAGAAGTTCGGATAACTACGACTTGGAGGCGTATCGACTTGATGAGAGCCTACCCAACGGTGACGCTGGGGGGACAATGATCAATGCGCCACTGTCTACAGAATAGCGTGACAGTGCAAAAGCAAAGAGGAAATAGACACTGATACAGAGAAGTGTGTCCTTCAGTCCTACCGGCGAAGGAATCATGGCGTTCTTCATGGTGCGAATCAGACATTGTGAGCAGAGAATAAGTAGCTGATAAAATCAGTTACCTGCAGACATAGAATCTGGTTGCTGGTATACTTTACAATTTGGTATTTCAATAGTTAATGTTTAGTATAGGGTAATAGGATACTCTAGTACTGAAGATGTCATACTAAGCATGTTTATCAGGTTGAAAAGTATTTTGTGGCATCATATGTAGACATACATATAATACCCGATCGGCGGGTGTTTTTGGTAATGCACATAATATCCCCAGACATGATATATAAACCCTCACTCCCTCAAGCTCCTCACGACATCAACAACCCTTATATCAACGCGTTCTTATAAAAAAGATTACTCCTCCGGTCTCCTGCAACCCCCGACGCAAACCCCAAGAAAAGCCTCACCTCTCCACTGGCTGTCTTATAGATCGCCATCCCCTCCGGCTCACGAAACTTCAACGTCGACCCAGCCTTTGTAATGACCGGGCCCTGCACACGCTTCCCAGTATTCAAATCCAGAGCCATAACCTCAGAATTCAACTTACCACCACTAGCGTCATAAGATTCCCCAGTCAGGAAATAGATATACCGCCCGTAAGCTGCATACCCCTGAAACACATTAACCTTTGCCCCGAGCTCGTTAACGAGATGTGGAATCTCCCAGTTCGCCAGCGGATTCGAAAAATTGCCTGCGCTTGCCTCGGCAAGGTCAAATGCGGCGATATGCTGCACGGATCCAGTCTGGTATCGCATGATTAACCGCTTATAAACGGGGTCAATTGTTGCAGTCCCCCTATCAAACCCCGGCAACGGCACAATCCGCTTCCGCTTATCCGTGGCGCTATTCAACGTCTTCCCATTCTGAAACTTGAACTTCCACAATGCGCTCCCGTACCCGCTTGCTGCGGCGTCGGTTTCACTCCAGATATACGTATCGCTTCCGACTGGTTCCGCGGCGATATTCACACCATGCCCGCAGCCGAGCAGGTCCATTGAGCCGAGGACCTTTCCTGAGAAGTCGAGTTGGCTGATTGTTAAGTCTCCTGAGTCGAGGGCGGAGCCATCGCGACGGTTTACGATGAAGAGGCGGCGGTTGACGTTGTCAAAGGTGAATGATTGTTGGACAGTTATGGCGGCGGTTTTCTTGTTCCGCCAGAGGTCATACGAGGGTTTTGTGAGGTCGAATCGGGGGAGTTGGGGATTAGGGCAATCACGCCTGTTAGGGCTGTGATGAGAGCAAAGAGGATCGCTCGCATGGTGACTGGAGGATTGGATAGGTTCTGGTTGGGGGCAAGGGCCGAAGGGAAGGTTAGGGAGTATACAGAAGAGCTTCAAGGTTGGATAGTTGTGATATTAAATAGACCTCTCGGGGACTCATCTCCTTCTTAGGTACGGAGTACCGGGTGGTCTGCAAAGCAACAGGCACTAGGCCAAAAGGCGATACGAGAAACACGAAGATCGGCGGGGTATACGGAGGTGTGGTGCAAAACTCATTAGCCGCTAGTAAACTTGGCATTTCCAATGTAATAGCCATACACTAGAATTACTATAGAGACCTATACTCCTTCTAAAATAATAGTTTTCAACTTCTCTATCTATCATTTCTTGGCTAAAAAAAGCAATTTGAAGCTATACAGAACCCCTTTTTCACTCCCTAAGATGAATTCAACACAGTATTCCCCTACTATCCATATTTTCAGCCTGCCTACCTCCTCTAAGCCCTCCTCAAAGCCCTTGAAGCCCTCGAAGCCATTAAAGCCATCAAAGATGCGTGGATCTTATCATCTAGTTACCGTGCGCGTGCAGGCCCTGACTTTGGCCTACTGTGGTGTTGATATAAAGCATATTGAGGCTATAACTGGCATGCCTCGTCAGACAATTCAATACTAGGTTAAGAAAGCTAGGGAACGCGGCTATAATCCAGAGATAGATCCATGCATCTTACCAGAATATGTTAAAGATGGCAAGCATACAGGACGTCCAAAAGAGATTATAAAAGCAACTAAACAAGCTATTCTTGAATCTATTAGCAAAGATCAAAACAGGCGTGAGAAATCTTCTGAAATTCTGGCATTTGAAGCTAGTATCTCTTATTCTTCTGTTTTACATATTCTTAAGCAGCATGGCTATAAGGCAGTTAAGCAAACTACAAAACCAGGCCTTACTAATAAGATGAAGTAGAAAAGATTATAGTTTTACCTTACCCACAAGGACTGGACCCTCAAAGACTGGAAAAATGTGATATAGACTGATGAAACCTCTATTTCTCTTAGATAATGGCGTGGAGCAATCTATGTTTGGCACACAAAAGATAAGAGAAATAATCCCATAGTTATACAGCGGTGTTGGAAGGGGACTTCTGATTTTATGGTTTAGAGGGCATTTTCTTATAATAAGAAGGGTCCTCTTCATATCTGGGCTCCAGAAACAGCTCAAGATAAGAGATGTGCTGAGCAAGAGATTATTCTCTTAAATTAACAGCTTGAGCCTATCCAGAAGGCAGAATGGGAGCTTAATACTAGTATAGCGCGTTTAAAACTTTAGAATGGAAGAGTACCTGGCCGTACACCTATCTGGAAGTGGAATAAGAAGAATAGCCTACTCTCTCAGGATTCTAAAGGAGGTGTTAACTAGTATAGATACTATAAGGTAGTATTCTCCTTCTCTATGGTTTCTGCTTAGAATTTAAGAACTAATACCTTCTTTTACTATCTTTATAGGAAGTCCTTATCCCTAAGCTGATTCCCTTTGCTCAAGAATGTGTAATTAAATAACTAAATACAATTATCCTTGAAGATAGCGCTCCAGCTCACCGTCATCGATTCCAGCAGACTATATATAATATTAAGAGGGTCTAGAAGATCATGGATTGGCCAGGGAACTCCCCTGATCTTAATGCTATTAAACCAGCCTGGCCATGGCTCAAACAGCGTACAACTTCTCAAGGGGCACCCCGGGATAAGAAGACAGGGAAGGAGGTATAGATGAAGGCATGGAATAATCTTCCATAGGAGCATATTTAGCAGTGGATTGAGCATCTTATACACCATATCCATGTCATCATTGATCTAGACGGAGGTAATGAATATCAGGAGGGCCGAACAGGCAAGGATAATTGTGATTGGAAGGGCCATTGAGCAAAGGGTACTATCTCTTATAGGCAAGATATCAGTGAATTAGACTGGGAAGATATTTTGCAGCCATTTGGATAGCTTCAATATTCGATTCTTAGGAGTTGAAATCAATCAAAGTAAGCTACCATATAAATTACTATGTAATGTTGCTTGGTCTTGTTACCTTGCCAAGCTTACTAGCGGCTAATGAGTTCTGCACCACACCTCCGTATATAGAACTCTGACCGCGGAATCTTGGATATGTCGCTTATATCCTCCAATGGCGAGACACGTCGTGAAATCAACCCAGGAGGAGTTAAGCGCTCTTGGCCGCCAAGTACATAGTAGCTGCCATTTTCACCGTTGGTGAGGTCTAAGTGTGGAACAATGTCACCTCAGGCCGGTTGATGATACTGCCGTAGAATACGAAGCTCGTATCCCTCTCCATCAAGTTACCTATCCCTTGCGGCTTCAGGTGCAGTTTCTTGCTCCCGTGAGCTTTTATTATTGCTCGATTTTCACTCACGACGCCCTCAACAACACCCAAACTGCCCGCCCGGCCCAAACCACCCTCCATCATACCATAGCGGCAGATTCGTATACGCATCCTCCATCATCGCCCTCCAAGTCTCAAGCGCCGCGAGGCAACATTAGCCAAGGCAAAGCAAGACCCCACCATATTGTGTGTGTGTGTGTGTGTGTGTGTGTGTGTGTGTGTGTGTGTGTGTGTGTGTGTGATGCGTGACTGCTTACTGTTTCCGTATCTGGCTTCACACCCAAGGTTGCAAAGTCGAATCAGATACCTTGCTAGAAGATCTGCGAGGTTATTACTTTCAAAGGAATTTTACCTTGAGACTCAAGTGCATCTCTCAAATACAATGACGCGGGCTAAAGAGCTCTTTCAATTCTATTTTTCAGACTGGTTGATCATGAACAATACAAGACGCGCTAGCATTGCCAAACCGGTTTCATAAGCAGCGTTTCTGCTCAGGCAAGTACCTATTTCAGTGTTGCGCTTAGCAGCAGTGGAGAAGCCATGCGACTCCGGTGTCTGTATACCTGCACATAAGAATAAGGGCTGGATCTAACCTCATTGCAGACGGGATTCACTCAGTCCACAGAACATTGGCGTCCCCACTAACACGACTGAAATAATGAAAGCGCATCTGTACCTGCAATTATTAGACTTAAACATCACCGTCACTCCCCACAGCGTTGTGACTTCGGCTACATTAATGTCCATTCTTAACAAGGGCTCTGAATGATCTGATTAGATGGTGAAATGTGAATAATATAATCATTAAGTGCACCTAGAAAATTAAAGGAGAGAATAAAGGATGTGAGGTAGTTGACATAATTGATAGGGCCAACATAATTCATGACCAGCATCTTGACTGGAGTAGAGTATAGCAGAGTAAGTCAACTAATACGGTCACATAGTAATTTTAGATGTAAGCTGTAGATGTGATTATTTAGGAGAGACTGTGACAGAGATGTCGATGGCGTTCTTGATGCTAGTAGATGTGAACAAGGCCAGGGTACGCTTGTTGAGTACATACTGTAGCAAGCTGCTGTCAGGCGAGACGTGGACTTTATAGCCGTTGGGGAACGTGGAGGGGGGCAGGATAATTTCAGTGGGCGCTTCAATATTTGGATCAGACGTGAACTGCAGCTTGAAGGTGCCCGAGCTCTCATCGAAGCTGAAGCTGTTGGGGGTGCCGGCGACGGCGGCGGGGTATGCACGGCTGTAGTGCTTTGCCAGTTCAGGGTAAGGCTGACCAGATGTGCCGTTGTACAGGTTCTCGTACGCCCAGCCGATCCAGGAAACCATATTTTCGTCGGTCGCCGACATGGCGTCTGCTAGGCCCTGCATCTGCTTATCATCGCCCATCCAGAAGGTGAGCTCGGTCAGCACACCGGCGGTCCTAAGACGCTCATTGTCCTTGCGGCGATTGTCGAGCGTGGTAGAAATAGACGACAGCTGCGGCGGGCTGTAGTAGTGGAATGAGTGCACTGACTTTGAGCCGTCTCCAAGAGGGACGTTGTTGAACCCCGACAAGATGTCAATGGTGGCACCTTCGAACCAGATGAGCGTGTCATTGTCGACGGTACGGATCTGCTTGGCGGCGCGGTTCCAGAGGCCTTCTAGGACCTTATGGTCGGCAACACCTGGCACTAGCAGGGTCGGGTCGGCCATCGAGTCGCCCACCCAGGGCTCATTCAGCAGGTTATACCCGACCACGTTGGTCGTCCCAACATACTCGGACGCCAGCTTTTTCCAGTACGCCGCGAACGCATCGCCCAGCCCGTCGTAGTTGTTGTATAGGCGCCCAAACGCATTAGACACCGCCACCGACGTGTAGCTCAGAGACCAGTCGACGGTGCCGCAGAGCGACTGCGGCGATGGGAACCCGTTATTATCCACAGGGAACGGCGTTAGCTTGAGAGGGAAGGGATACATCTTCCAGCCTGGTACCCAGTCCTTCTTAACAAACCACTACGCAGCCGTGTCAGTATGAGCTGTACCAACATGGCCATGCATCATCTACTTACGTCAGGTACGCCGTGACCACAAAGCTGCCGCGCCAGGACGTCTTGGTGCACGTCCACCAAAACATAGAGGCCGTGGTCCTCAGCCATCTTGGTCTGCTTCTTCAAGATCTCTAGAAATGTCTGGTTGTACTGCCCACGCACAGGTTCTGCGCCAGCCCAGCTGTGGCCTAACCGCACAATGTTCAGACCTAAGCCGTGCAGATTTTGGACATCTTGCTCGCCAAATGATGAGACACCAGGCGACCACTCCAACGGCCGATACCACGGTGACTCTTTCATCACGACGTTAGTTCCGTGGAAGAACCTTGTACGGCCGAATTCATCGACGATTTGATGCGTGTCTTGGTTCACCTGGCTGATACGCGCCATGCCTGAATGAGCCTTGTACCAGCCCTCGGCATCTTGAGCTAGCACACCTGCTGGCTGTGTGCCAAGCACAGCTAGCAGCGATGCAGCAGCAATGGGAGTGAACAGCATCTCAATAAAAGGCCAAGTCAATTTCGGTAAGAATAAACAGGAAGTAGAAAGGAGACGGAGGGAATGAGTGTTCAGATAATAGTAAGAATTAAGGGACCACAGGGAGATATAAATGCCCAGTGCTCCTCTTTACATAAAGTAGGAATACATCTCCTCCACCATTCTCGACTAATTGCCTGAATAACTGGTTGTAACGTGCCCCGCAAAACTGCTGCAGAACTAGGATTAGGCGATGGACTAATTAGGTAATGATTTTATTGAGACGCCGCTTGAGGAGAGAAAAGACGAAAGCATCTGTGGATATAAATGATGTCCATTTGGAAGATCATGTGTGCCATTCAACATATTCAGAGATTATCAGTGCGGTGATCTTTCAGTAGCTCAACCGAGCTTCTGCAAAAATATAGGTAGGCGAAATATGTGTAGCATAGGAGAGCAGACCCTTTTACCAAGTTGAATTAGATAACTATATCATAAATACAACTAGTCGAATAGAATACTACCATCTTTATATTACTGTTACATCCCCAATTCCGGGCGGCCGTTCCTGTATGATCACACCCGTTATGGTTGTTCTTATACGAGGGATTCGACGTGCTTGTATCTACGTTCACTATCAGTCGGACCCTACAATCGCATGGTTATATTAACAAAGTAGCCTGATGAACACCTAGACCTCGGCAAGTGTTCCGCATAACCCAACCGAAACATGTGCCAACCCCAAACAGACAGTGCTCGTCTCCCCACAGTGGCATCTACCAAGATCTCCAATTACCAGCGGGGTAGGTAGTGAAAACATTACTGGACCTTAGAGAGACTACACGCTGCCAGTGGTAGGCTGTGCAGATTCAGACCTAGTAATTCGGACTGCAGATGGAAAGGTCTACATTCAAAAGTAGGACACTACTATAAGAGGAACTTTATAACGTTAATTCTAAGGGGAAGAAAAAAGCAAGGGAAGGAGCATCATCCATGGAAGGTGAATTTGTCTGCTTTCAGGAAACCATCAGTTTGGGGCAACTGTGACCACGTAAGATAGCCACCTATCTCTTGCAGTCTTCCATTAATTCTTCGATATGCCTCTCTCCGTCCCCTCGTCCATCACCATCTCTATCCTGACGACGTATGCAATCTTCATCCTGATCACGTATATATTCTCTATTATGACCGCACACAGGCTGCTCTCAGCCCTTGATCTCATATTCCCTCTGTCCTGTAAGGAGAGTGGAAAACCATGTCGTGTCTCTTCTGTTCTACACACTGACTGGAACTGACTGAAGGCATATACCATGAGGCTGGCTGCGTTTGGTCCATAGAGAATCCGTAGGCTGGTCCCAGAAGCTTGGACTAAAACCTGGATCACAACCCTAGACTCCTAGAGTAGTTTGGTTTCGAAGACGCATCTTGGTTACAATTCTCAACAAGGCTTCGAGTACCAAGTATTAATTGGTTTAAATAACTCTCCAACGTCAACTGATATCTCTATTTTATGTCAATCCAGCACAGCAGATAACACAGTAGTAACATCCTTGGTCGACGCAGATATCACATTCTCAGCCACAGACCCCGTCCTCCACATTCCAAAACCCACAAACCGCCCATTCACCGAGTAGTACGTGCCCACCGTACGGCTCTTGCGGACCCTGCGCTCCTTGTCCCAGAAGCAGTCAAAGGACTGCAGCTTGAACAGCGGCTGTAGCATATACGTTGTTTCGCCAGCAGAATAAATCCCCTAGAGCTGCTCTCCATCGATTTTAGAATCGCCTCCCACTGAGTCGCGGAAATATCCCTGCCCAGCAGAATCCCCGTTCCGCGCGCCTCGCGGATTGGCTTGTGGATATACCGGTTCTTCGTCTCAGGGTCCCGGCGCGCCTGACTGGCCAGCTCCTGAAACTCGGACGAGCCGGGCAGGATTGTCGGGACAATGCCTTCTCGAAGTAGTTGGGCCTGTGCTGGGCTGAGCACGCGGTGTGTATGCACGAGGGCATCCAGCTCTTGCAGGATTATGCCGAGAAATCGCTTGTCGTGCGCGATAAACACGCTGCGGAGGTCGTTGCGGCAGCATAGGGCTATGTGCTGCGCCATCTCCGTGGGGAGCGCGAAGAGTTTGTAGTCGAACAATTGGAGGCCGATTTGATGCACTTGTTCGACAAGTTCTCCGTTCACTTGTATCAGTTTTGGGGCGGGTTTGCCTGTTCCAACTGCTTTTCTGACTACGGGATCGGTGCCCCAGACGCAGCAGAGCATGAAGCCAGTCCTCGTAGTGGCGTCTGGCACAAGTCGGAGATCGCTAGGGCTAACTATCCTTGGCCTTATTCCGGTCTGAGACTCTAGCCAGCCAAAGAGAGACCCGTCTTGGGACATGCCTGCTTTATCTCGAACAAAGTGGATGGGAAGCTTGGGGTTAAACAGCTCCAGTAAACTGTCCAATAATCGAGTGTGATTTGAAGCTGGTTTGACGGATGCACTGTGCCTTGTACACCCTGCTAAAGCTTCGTATGCAGTCGCCACCCAGTGGAGGAAGTTTATTGAGAAGCGCGCATTGATCTCACACACTCGAAACCCGGGAGTGTCATTCCCGGCGGCACTGATTGGAATCAATATATCAGGTCTCAGATTCCCCTGATTGCCCACAAAGGACCACATGGCCCTTCGTTAGACATCTTGTCTACCCACCGAGATCATAAGAATCAGCCAACTATAATGTTTCGGGAATGTAAAGCTTACCCGGAGCAAAGCCTCAGCCCGAGGGTCCAGTGGCATTCGACTGGAAAATTTCGCTTCGGTGTCTTTCCACCACCGTGGAATAATATTATTGTAAGCGAGAGCTAGTACCTCGTTGAATCTTTCTAGGTCTCTGATGAATTGCTGAGGAAGTAGGGCCGGATACGGGTTGAGCGTTCGCGAGGTGTCAGGGATAGTTCCGTACGGACGGACACAATCGGCGAGGTTTGCTATGATTGCCTCTTTATGCGTAGAAGTGGTTGAATATAACTACAATGTATATCAGTGTTTCTTATCCAGGATCAAAATAACAGCAAAAGCGTCAATATTACCTAGTAATCCACTTGATTTTGTCCTCTTCTGTCTCCAAACCAAAAAGAACCTCTGCATATGTGCGGTGGCCGCCGAGCGGTCTCTCCATCAAGGCCGACGCCAGTATCAGCGTTTCGTTATTCTCCTCCGCTCTAGACTCGAGATTCTCCCGGAGAATACAGGTCAAATGACGAGCCTCGGCGATCTTCTCTTGGTTTCCTGTCACTGCGGCGACTTCTCCAAATACCCATAGATCCTCGGGGAAAACCCTCTTCAGGACATCTGTCACGTTGGGCGCGACAGCTGCAGCCCAGCATGGAAGGGCCCGGACTGCCGATGTTAGCAGGCAGGCGAGTGAGAACTTGATGTCAAATTGGAAGCCTGGCACTGTGATTGTGCGTATCGCCGCCTGGGCCTGGCCACAGTTTGGAATGGATTTGACGACCTCGGCGTTTGGGAAGAATTTTGTCACTGCAGGGAGCTGTTGTAAAAGACACGGTACTATTATCTTCTCTTTTCCGTCTGAAGCACTAAGTTCGATTCCACCGAACAGTCGCTGCAGAGGCTGTGTGAGTTTTTCAAAAGCTCCAAACACGCAGACGGAAGACCGGGGCAAGGCCACAAACGAGAGGCCCGGGTTGAGCATCGCCGGCAGTTCGTCGGGTCCAACAGGATTTTGCAAATCTCATGAGCGAAACATGTGCGGTGAAACTAAATATGAGTAAATTTCCGTGCGGTTAGCAAGTATGCTCGTGACATGCTGCGACAGGACACATGCCGGATGAGTTGGGTGGCCGGAAATAAGAGACCTCTCCCAGGAAAGAAAGCCAGCTTTCCGGTCCAGCACTGGCTGCGTGGCCGCGATTTCCATCCATTTTTCTGCTTTTTTCAAGTGTTCAGAGTTGGTTTACATCGCTTCTCTTAAATGGAAGGTATACGTACCTAACATGGCCGCCGAGTTGCGCAGCTCGCCTGCGATTTCTTTGCTCGTTGCGCCATCGCAATCAAGCCAGGACTGAATAAATTCCCAGACAGAACCTGGATCATCTTCTTCCGTCTCAATTGTACAGTGTTTGAGGACTACAGGAACTTCAAAGTCATTCGGCCTCCACTGGGACCGAGACTCGAAGCGGTCGATCACAGTGACTTGTATCGACCGCACAGCGTCTCCTTTATTTGTAATGCGAAGATGTGATTTTTCAGCAGATATAGACCATGTAGACAGTTCTGTGTCAACCAGTCCTTCGTTAATTAGTTGTGCGAGAAGGCGTTTTGTTGTCTCAGCCCTGGCCTGAGCTCTGTAACTTGCCATGGCTCTCCGCATGGACATGGAGGTGTAAGATATGGTGTAGAGTGAGTGTAGTTGGTTTAAGAAGAACACGGAAAGCTGACATCTGATTTAATCTACCTTGCTTCCTAGGTAATAGGTATGCTAGTTCATGCTGTATCGGAATCGGTATTGACTGCTCCAGGTATAACCTAAGTATTCTCTACATATGTATTATTGTATTAAAAAAAATATGCACGCACACATGCGTAGTTCTTGTTTTTGGGACCTGCAAGTGACATGTTTAATGGACCCTTCAAACCTTAAACACGACTGGTCTACTCTCTCATATCTTCTTCACCGCTAGTTGCGCTTGAAACAGTGACTGCATATAATAACAAGTTTACAAGTTATGGCGTAGCTATGGCAGCTTTCGCAAGGGCGCCTTTTTATGTATCTAGATGCAGGATACCGCCTACGCAGTACTTCTAGTCCCATTTAACCCTTTATCACGCCTGCCAAGTCCCTGCGGCAGGTAATACCGTAACAACTATCGCCAATTATCGTCCTGGGTATTGCTCACGTTGTTTTGGAAGAGCAGGAACATCATTCATGAGTCGGAGTTGCGTCTCCGCACAGAGGACGGATCGACGGAAATCCACTTTCAGCTTTTAGATTCCAACCATACGAATGCACGCGTTTATGTTTGCCTGGATGGCTGGCTGAAGATCTCCATAGGCCGCAGCAAACATGCATATACATATATATCCATTACGTAAATAAATTCAATGTGTTTTCATTAAAAAGCATCTCTGTACAGTGCATATGTGCTCTACAAGACCCTGAATCAGTAGATGTCAGGTGTCCTTTAGGGTTTGGCATTTTAGACATGGTAGCTATTAACGTAGCAATCCTAGTATCAAGTTTATCCCAAAGGGTGCTTTCACTCTATTTGTACCACGGGTATGACGGGGCTGCTTGAAATATGTGCATTTATTTCCAGGAACCCCATGTGGGCTGGGAACTGTGGGCCAGACGCTGCAGTTCATCGTCAGGACCCACTAATTTCTCATTAGTTAGCTAGAATTATTTTGTTTTTCTATCAGTTGACAAATGACTAATACTCGTATGTTACATCTCACAATAATAGGGTCCGTCAGGTTGTGTACAAAACACTAGGTAGCAAGATATGTACATCAACGCGAGTCTGATGATTCATTCTCATGCAACTAGAAAAAGCAAAAAGAAAACAAATGGATTCAAAGAATGGCGTATTTATTGTTTGCTTTTTGAATTAAATAAATACTTGGCAGTCTACATGTCTGCGATGTCTCACTGGAATCCTCTGGGTTCCCTTGAATTGGGCTTCAAATCTTCTAAAACCGATACTCGGTTCAAACTGGAAGTTAATAGCCATGGATGACGCTGGTTCCCAGAACAGGATGCCTCCCAAAGTGCCTCGGGCACTCCCTTTAGGAAAGGCCAACATCTTCCCTGCTGGCGATTCGCATGTGAGGACATCAATCTAGACAAAATGACCTGCTAATGACCATTCTTAGGCCGTCAGCGTCTCTTTGCCGACATGGGACGCAGTTATTGGACTGTCTCGGAAAGAGACTTGGGTAATGGATACTCTGGAATGGAGCTATCCACGGTCTGGCCAACCTGTGTATCAATCGATTTCAGGAAGGGAATTGCTGACATACACAGGTTCTATATCAATAAGCCAGTCAAAGACCTCTGCAATGCCGTCTTGCAACGACTACGCATCACCGACGGGAACATGGGCTGCATGATTTTCCCCTCGCCTCATGCTGCACTGGAACTATCTAAAATACTCGAAACCCACCGCGTTGATAGTCCGTATATCGTTGACGTCATCCGGTTTTCCATGCATCCAGAATCAGATGTAGCTCCTAACTGGGCTAGTTTCAGTGCGGTTTTATTCCCGCTCGATCTGTGCAAACAAGCAATGGGCTTCTGGCGCGATACTGGAACCGGGATATCCACACGACACGCAGAGTTCTGTCTCTTTCAGTTTGACTATCTACCTTCCGACTCAGTGACGACCAAAGCATTCTGCACTGTAGCTACCCGGAGAAGCCCGAACTCTCAAGCTGAGATTCCGTCTGCCGCAGCCGGAGAGGTGAAGTCGGTCATCGCAGGGCTGGCTACCGGGCAGCTAGCAGTGAGCCCAGACGATGTGTTTTTATATCCCAACGGGATGAATGCCATATACGCACTTTCAAAGACTTTGGCCTCTCTTGCAACAGAGTCCAAGGTTGCCGCATATGGGTAAGAAACAAAGAAATCCAAACGGAAAAAAAACACGAATAATCAGCTCTGACAACCGTCTCTTCAAGATGGATATATCCCGAAACAATAGAAGTCCTCTGACAAAGTCCCTGGGCCACGCGCCTCTTCTATAAAAACGGCACCGAAGACTAACTGGATCATCTTGAGCGAGAATTGGAATCCGGGCTGAAACTCCACGCTCTATTCACTGAGCTACCCAGTAACATCAAACTGTCCTCACCAAATCTGGCTCGCATTCGCGCCCTTGCGGATAGACATGGCTTTATTGTGGCCTGTGATGACACTGTTGCCGGCTATGTCAACATCGATGCGATTCCGTATGTGGATGTCATGATGTCCAGTCTTACAAAGACCTTCAGTGGCTATTCCAATGTTACAGGAGGAAGGTATTTATCCATTTCCTATTACCACAAATTGGAAACATGTATAACGTTTCTAGTCTTGTATTAAACCCCAGCTCGGTCCATCACGACAAGATCCACGCTGCTGTGTCGGCTGCCTATGAAAGCACCTATTTCCCTCCAGATGTCGATATGCTCCTTGTAAACTGCAGAAATGTTGCTTGGAGGGTGGCTCGGTGCAATGAAAACACTCTCCCCGTTGTCGATTTGCTGCAGAAGCACCCTTTGGTTGCCCAAGTCAACCACCCATCTATTGGGACCACAGCGCCACTGTATAAAAGCTTGATGCGCAAAGATGGCGGTTATGGGAACGTTCTCAGTGGTATCTTCCACGATCCCATACGGGGAGAATACATTTACAATGTTCTGGATGTGTGCAAGGGCTCGAGCTTTGGCACAAACTTTACCTTGGCTATCCCTTACGTGCAATTGGCAAATTACTGGCAGCGGGACAAGGTTCCGAAATATGGCGTGCCACAGCATATTGTCCGACTCAGTGTTGGGCTGGAAGATAGCGAGCAGATTTTCAGCGTGGTTGCTGCTGCACTGGAAGAAACAGAAAAATGGAAGGGCACAAGCTGCGTTGCTTGTAAATCATAGTTCTTTTATTTTATTTTATTTTATTTTACATATTTATTTTCTTTAAGTCTAAGCAATAAAGCGTGCACTTTTTAGGTTTGTGTCTGTTGATTAACCTTGGGGATAATGTTTTCCGTCTCTGCGCGCACAATTCTCCATCCGGCCACCCCGGATGTAGTCCATATACAGAGTAGGGCAAATGGCCGTTGATGACCGAATTGGAAAGGGACCAGTATACATCCTCCAGATTGATTGTCCACGTATATCTCCTCGATGGGATGGTCAAACTCTGCCGACGCTTCCCGTCCAAAGGTAGACCAGACCGGTGACCTCCATCGAGGAGTAGTCTCGAATAACAAAACCCTTTGGTAGCCGGTGTGACTGGGTCAGTCCGCATCAGGGTATTCTGGAGATGAGTAATCATGGTCAAGCCAAGGCTTAGTATGGGAGGTAAAATCGAACGGAATAGCCGGCTGCTGGCTGCTGTATTCTCGAACAGCCCCTTGTCTGGCTCCTGTCCCCAATAGCGTCGAGATTCTCGGCCAATGTTGCGTACACGATTATTCGATCGCCTGTCCCACCAGCCAGTGACTCGCTGCTTGCTTTGCGATGAAACAGCTGCGTATTCTCGTGCCCACCAAATGGATGTGACTCAATGAATATACGTGGTATGTTACAGATTTCTACTTGCAATGCTCAAAAACCCTCCATCCCAACATTAAAAATTGTTTCCATGTAACCAAATATAATGGTAGGGAGCAATAAAGAAACTCCCACTATATTCAGCTGAAATACTCTGCCATCGGACCGTGACGTATCCATATCCACTTCGTCTTCAGCTGAAGAAGCTAAAGAAGCTAAACTCTAATATCAGAGGAACAGCAATGCAAGCACCACAAGCTGAAAAGTCAATACGGCCTACCTGGTAAATATACTGTGAATCTCTTTCTGTATAGCCAATAAAGGCGCATCATTAAGGTTTTTCGAACCAACATGGGATGCCGCTGAGCTAAAACCATAGCTGAAGGTGGATCTATATATCCTATTATAAGCGGAATAATGCGCCATTCACCCCCACACCCCATCTCCCCTGCAGGGGGACAACTGCAGTCACCACACAATATATAACCTAATTTAATGGGGTTTAAGGTAGGTATGCCATGGGAATGGCTTGTCCCGACAACAGCACGATGCTATCAATCACTACTACCAGTTTCAGAGAGTGTTCCCACTAGTAGCCCGAGTCTGTCTGTTAGCCATGCCATACGCCCACACATCGGGCGTTTGATTGCTCAGGCAGCCGCGGCAGCTACTAAATATGCAGGCTTTTTGGTCCCCACCAAGAGTCAAAGCCTGTAATCTGCTAAATGATATGATTGGCGGACAGTTATGTCAATGTGCATCTATGGACACATGTGCATGTATATTCTGCAATGACCCTGACCTGGCAAGCAGGGGCAAGAGACATGAGCCTATTATGCCTGCTATTGGCGCTCTGCCTATTTGTATTAGTGAAACAATGGCGAATTTAGGCATAGTGTACTTCTAGAAAAAAGCACCTAGGTCTTCGTATTCCAAGCCCCCGCTTTGTCGATCTGTTCGTGACAATTCTGAATGGCCGATACTTAGTACCAAAAGATTGTTCAGAGAGGTTGCAAGGTAGGGATATTGATATTTCGGTTCATGTGTGGGACTAGTCCGAAAGGCAATAACGGGCCTATTCTAGTAGCAATGAAGGGCCCGCGAGAACTTGGTATTGAGGAGATCGACAGTGGGTTCGAGCTCACATGGTGCGCTGAGGTTGACTAAGCATCCTACTACGCCTCCTGCAGCCACGTCTAGATACTCTGTAGTATCTACAATATTTAGACACACTTCTCCGCTGATCGCATTCACAAATAGGGCAGTGATATACTCACGAAGTATGTTTTTTATGATACTTTGCTGAGTGTGGCATGATGGCCAATGATTTTTTGATTCTTACTTTCCTTCTGGTGTCCTCACTGGAGTAAAAGAATATTCTGAATTCTGGGACAAGTCAGAGGAATCAGCCAAATAATGGATACAATCCTTTTACTATGAAGTATAAACTTATAAACCGAAAGATACATACTTATAATCCCCAGCCATGATATCCGAGGCTTCAATAAAAAAAATGTGCTTTTATATCTTTCTTTACTTCAGGGGTATACAGCTTGTCAAGCTTTGCTTTCTTTGTGTTATTTTTTGATTTCACTAGTGGTAAAACTAACAACCCAGACAGTTAGTTTGGTATCACCGCCTCATGTATGCAGAAGACTGGAACCCTACAGATAAATAGATAAATTTCAGGTGTGGGAATGACGGAACGGTCCGTAAGCTAAGAGCTAAGAGAAGTACAAAAAGGCTTGTTGCGCTGGTCGCCTAACCCCGCACGTGGGGCATATCAGAAATGACCCATCCTGAAGTAGTAAACATGAGCGGGGTCAGGAATATTCAGAGTACAGCGCATTACATAGCAGGGCGTCATAGGCAGCATGGGTGCTAGTTAGTTTTGTTTGTCTACATCCCAAAGTCAAAAAAGACCCATGTTCCCTATGATTTGACTAATGAGACCCATCCACTTGCTGTGCTTAGATGGATTGATTACCTGATGCTCCTCAGATGTTGTGCAACATGACTGAGCTGATCTATGCATCAAAGCTGCAGTTCAAGGTGTACCAAGTAAAACAAAACGTCAGCGTGGCGTCTGTGATTGCCAGTGGAGTCTGCAAAGACCGAGGCCCCGTGCCATCCAGCTAGAGCTCCTCAGTAGAGGAGAGCCAAAGCAGGGTTCTCTATATTGATTACGCCAACCTGGAGAAAAGTATAGTTCCATTCTAATGTTACTGCAATCTCACGCTGTGTAACTAACTGTCCAAACAAGTTGTGTTTTCCTTTGAATCCAGTTTTTTGTCGATTACCCACCGGTTGGTGAACAGAAACCTGTTTTGCATCCATCCTTTTCGCTTCCTCGACCAGTTCGGAATAGCCGTAGGTGTCGATACTGAAGCGAGTGCTTCTCTAACATGTTTCTCGAGCCCTCGCTCAACTTAAGCGGCTCGTGCGCTCTCAGGCCACCTCATCGCGTTAACAGCTTGGTCCAGTTTGAGCAAATAGTTGCTTACTGGTCTTCATCAGCGAATTGTGCCAATATATTGTGCCGCATGGGCCTGTTTCTGTTCCACTTGTGAAATTGTACCTTCGTTGGTTCTTATATTATATATAATTACTGAGCTTGTCCTTCTGCTGATGTGTAGCACGCGAAAATAATGCCTAGTCTTAAAGAAGTGATGTAAAGTATGCTGGTTGTCTGTATGGAATGCGGCTTTGCACATGTCTAGGGTTATTGTGAAATAAGAATAGCAACTCTTATAATACGCGGAATAGACCCTGAAATGACGATACATCAGACCTAGATAGTAATGCTAGGAACTCAGTACAAATGATATGGGTTGGAAAGAATGGACAATGGAACTATGACCTTGCCAAAATTTCAGACTGTTAAAACATGAGTAAAGAAGCTAATTCATGCACCACTCCCAACAGTAAGTTACTAACATTAAGTATTATGACATAGATAGTGCATAAAATACAAACTCTAGTGCGTGAATAGGACATACTTCAAAGGGCAGTCTCCTGCACCAAATTCAGTACATTTATAAATTTACATAGTCTAGAATGCTGATCAGATCACGGAAAGCCCTCCAGCCCCTGCCCCAACCCCCCTCCTCATACTTCTAGATCTACATTGTGCAAGTGACCAGACGATAGATTGGACAAAAAGGTACTGTTCACCTCGATGCCACACTGGTAAATACACACTACCAAACATCCAGATGGGAGACAAGAATGCGCCTTGCTTGGGGTACAGAGAAGAAATCCAATGTCAACCAGCAATCTTCGCCGCCTTGCCATCAAGTTCATCAAGCCGGGACTGAATCGCTGGAGGCATTGGAGAAGGGCCCCACGAATTCCGCAATTCAGCCAGGATCATTTTAATCTGTTTGGCTGTATTGGGCTCCACGATGGCGAGCTCCACAACATCCAAAATGCCGCTCACAAACTCCTCCTTCGTGATTGAGAGCTCCGCGCCATTCTCCGCTCGGCCGCTAAGCTTGTTCATTCGACGGACCATCTCGGTAGCACTGTCCTTCATCTGAATTAAACCTTTCTCTAGTTCCTGCGCTTTCGTAATGGCGGACTGGATAGCGCTTTGGAGGGGTCCCAGTCTCTCAAGGATGGCACTTTGTTGATCTAACTTGAGCTGCTCCCCGTTCAGGAGATCTAGGGATTTCTGGGCGTTTCGGTGCGCGGAATCAAGAGTATGTACAGCGCTATCGACCGCTTGTCTTGCAGCGCCAATCTGGCCTTCCAGAATGACGCTGCCGGGAGATTTTGTATGGTCGATGAGCCCAATTATCCCCCAGATGGGGATTATCGCGCTGACCTGGTCAATATATTAATTCCTGGTCAAAAGGACCGGGCCTGATCACACAGAAAGTATACTGACCACACCGTCAACCACATTGCCAGTTTTCCGAGCGTCGTCGAGCTTCTCCAGCAGTGTTCCCAGACTACTCCTGGCTTCCCTAACTGCATTCTCCTCCTTCTCAACTGCCTTGCTGGCCTCGCTTACCGCATGCTTGTAACCAGCAACGTTTGCGATCGTCTCCCCATGAGCTGCTTTGACGCGTTGTTGAAATACGTGCATCTTTGAGGACAAGAGGTCGACATTCTACGTCCGTTTTGTCAGTGAATCTGGTTTTATAGCCCCTTGGGCGTAGCCATACCTCTGATTGAAGCGTTGACACATGCTCCAGGGCTGTCGTTGAAGCGTGAGCCAACTGCTCGAACGCCTCCTTGACTTTAGCCACCAGTGAATCTCTTTCGGGCGACACATCGAATGCTCTCTGGTTATAGTCTCCTCTCACGAAAATTGCCAGCTGGTATAGCTGGGACAGTGCAATACTCAGAGACAAAGCAACGGTTTGCACATCCCGTGGGGATTCGCTATTCAAGCGACGAAACAGAGACTGGTACTGGTCAGAGATCTGATCCAGTTGCGAGTTCATGGCATCGACGTCAACCATCTTTAGTAGTGTCACTTTGTGCGCGTGATTTTAACCAAGTTATCGAAGTTTGACGGCGTGGCTATACTGAAAGCCATGGGACCCTTAGGCTTAAATATAACCTGGATCTGGAGAAGAGCACGAGCTAAGTTATGTAAGGCTCGAGCGATCGCTTGCCTCTTCGTTCATCCATCTTGACGCGTTGGATACAGCAAGATAGCCAGAACAAATGAGAAGGGTAATTGCCTTCGGCTACATGGCTTGCTGTATAACCGTACTACAGCTGCGTAGGAAGTGCCATCTGAGGGGCAAAACAGCAAATGACCCATATTCAGCCAGCCACATTGCCGCAGTAGAATCCTAGAGAAACTCAATATGACGCTGTATTGCATCAGATATACATGAGCTGAATCACAGAGTCTCTGGAGCGCAGATAGAGTTCAATGACGTATAAGAGCTATTGGCTCTATGAGTGATGGATCAACGACCTGCAGTCGAATCCCTGTAGAAGCTGAAGCCATTGTTGCAGTAGCAGAGCAAATTGGAACTCATCCTTGGACTGCGGTAGGTGGTCCACGGCGGGGTTCATCAAGCTGAAGCATTGCAAGGCATACATACTCCAACAGCACTGGTGATGCGCTCTCGCTTGATGGGCCTGGAGAACGGCCAATACCCATTCCACGTCGAATGATGCGTCACCGCAGCGTCTGGAAGAATATGAGGCATTTCTCTTGCTCTTCTGTAGATCCCCAAGATTTGCCTCCTGCGACTTGCAAATACAGGAAAGAGGGGTCAAGGTTGCCTGCTGCAATCTGCAGATATCGGAAAGAGGGGAGCTGAAAACACGATTTTGGTGGCGGAGACAGCTCGAACGCAAAGATATAAGGACCCCTTGGCTCCAGCACTTGGGTTGTAGTATGATCATTGCAACCATCAGACGAATCTTTTACTCTTCTCTTACTTCCATGGTCTTCATCAGTACTCGAGGATCAAAAGACGTGAAAATGGTGGACCAGAAGGAATTGCTGGCTGCTTTAGAAGTCCAACATAAGCGAGACAATCGGACTGGTATCACCAAAGAGGCTGTCGCTGAAATCAAAAGCTCAGCTATCTTTCAGGTGAACTGGGAAGACCTTCTCAAGTCAGCTCCGATTTCAATCAATGCACTCGGTGCGGCTCTTGTGGCCTCCTCATCGGAGACAGCCACAACGATCGAGTTCACCCGTCCGAAGGGCGGCTTCAAGTTCTTGCAGTAAGTTCCTGGGAAGCTCAAGGCCGGTCAGAATGGCTGGTGTTGATGGACAATACAGGTTCACCTCCTTAAGGGCGAACCTGGTCGATTGCAGCAACAGGGGGCGCTTTGCCTTCCTGGATGCCGAGGATGGCATGTTAAGGATAAATAATATCTCCCATATCATCTACGACAAGGTACGTGGTTGTCGGTCAATATAACCGATAACGCAAGGTGTACACGCGACAGAAGGATAGCGCTAACGAGCCATAACTGAAGATCGCCGAGATTATAAAAATCATTGGGAGCCCTGATCCAGCAGATGTCCAAAAAATGCTCGTGCCTCAGCTGCGCAGTGTGAAAAAGGCCGCCGACGAATGTCACATACGTGCTCTCCAGATGGACAAGAAGTTCGAAGAGTGGCTGTGGCTCGCGGCTGATCTCCATTCGAACTGCGTCCAAGAGCAGTCCAGTAATGAAGAAAGACGCTTGGCCACAAAAGTTAACATGTCTGTAGCCCAAAGGCAGTTCGACTCTCAGAAGAACACCGTCGAAGAAGCGAAGAAGATATCGGAGAAGCTAGGAAAGCAGCTAGATGTCGCTTCCGCAGCCTATAAAAAGGCTTCCGATAGTTTCCCTTCCGGGTAAGTGATGCAACCACAGTAACCAGCTGATCCGTCGGGCTTACTGACACGCCTGAAAGCTGGGATATTCTCGGCCAGCAAATTGTTGGCGAGCTTGCCGACACCTTGACAACTGCGTTAGGCCAGGCAATTACTGCATATACTTCCAACCTTAACCCGGTCGCTCGAGCCCAGAAAGGTGTTGAGATGTTTGAGGATGTCGTCAACGGAGGCAAATATGCCCCAAAGAATGGAGAGGCGCCTCCCCCACCTCCCCCAGCACCCCCCAAGCCCAAGAGTCCTCTTCCCCAATACAGTGATGACCCGGCATATGTTCAGGTCAAGCCCGCCATGGTGTATCTTACAGTCCTGAATGCCCTGTTGACCTCAGGGAAAGACGGTGGTGTCAATTGGGAGAGCGCTGTTGACTCGCCAGATAAGCCGGACAAGACTGCATCCTTTACCTCCAAAATGCTGAAGGACACCCTGGAGCGGTTCGAGCAGTCAACCACTGAGGATCCTCCCAGTCAGAAATTGCTGGGGGTTCTCCAGACCGCTACTGAGGTAAAGCTGTTCCGAGAGTGAAATTATGCTCGTCTCTTGTAACCGATGGCTAACAGCGACGTCCAGATTGCCAACGAAATCACCAAAGAAGCCGCCAAGCTAAAGGACATCAACAATGATCCGCCCAAGGCTGACTCGGAGCTGGTTAAAGGCTGGCAAGAGAAATTTCATCCGAAGTATCTGGAGGCACTTCGTCTGGTCGCTACTGCCAAAACCCTTCCTGGGGTAAACTCTGGTGGAGTGAGTTTCCAGTCTTGACCGGTATATGCTACGTCTGCATGGCTGTTCTGACAAGCTCTGTTAGGCTCCTCTGATGACGACCACCACCGAGGACCCTGCCGTCCAGATCGCAAAGACCAATGCCCAATCCGCTCAGGCGCAGGCTGTCCTGGATGCCGCTAAGGATCGACTGCACACGACCCAACAAACTTTCCTCTCAACGCAAAAGATCTATCAGGAGGCCTCCTCAACCCTTGTTGAGCAGGAGAACAAACTCACAGCAATCCAAGCCGAGCTCCAGCGCCAGACGACGCTAGAGGCATCATTGGTAAGCGTATCCCTCGTAGTCAAGTACCATCCGTCGATACTGTTGGTAACTGACATTGTGGTGTGCCAGACCGAAATTAAGAGTGTTCTTCGTCAGTGCATCTCCCTTATAATGGTCGTCAAGGACAATATCATGCAGCTCTGCCGGTTTTTCAACGCCATCAGCTCGACCATTGATGTCGTAGTCGAACACACCGTGAACGACTTTATCGACACAATCAGCAGTGGAGCCAGCGACGTGCAGATGAGCAACTTCACTCTCAGTACCCTGCAAAAATCGGTAAGTCCAAAAGACTAATCAACCACCCTTGGCGGCGAGTCCCATTGACCCGTTATGCAGATGATCTACAAGTACGCTGTCATCCTGCGGGCGTACTTTGAAACCTTTGGAGACATTGCCACGATGTGGAAAGAGCTTTCCGAGGAGAACATCATACCCGGGTTGAAGATGATTGACGGTCTGAGTGTAGAGTCGACCAAAGACGAAATTGCAAACAAGGTGGCCCAGCTCTCCAGCTGGGCTCAGAATGCATCTGCCAATATCGTCGCTATCGCCTCTGCAAAACGCAAAGAAATAGAAGATGGGATGGAAGGGCGAGTCGAGGACATTGCACAGTCTACGCAGAGTCTTCCGCCCTCTCCTCCGGCCAAGAAGGCCATTGAGGAAGCTGCGAAGGACGTGACGACTACTGCAGCGACTGCTGTGAAGGAGAACGCGCAGAACAACCCACTTTCCCGCTTCGAGCTCTAGACGTACATACTTCATTTCGTCCCATCTAGCTTCCTTGCGAAGTCTGCTCAGTCGTCCAGCTACACGTGTTCTCTTCCCCTTTCTGTTTTCCATGTTCCAGCATCCCGTAGCTATAGCGAACTGTTGCACTATCTAAAACCACTTTTGTGTTCGGTTTTAGGCTTTTGCCTTGGGCTCAAGCTGTAAGAAGATTCGCATACATGTTCCTTCATCAAGCGTCAGATTTCCTCTTTCCTTGTCCCTTTTCCGCATTCGATGTAATGCACTCACGTAGGACACAGCCAGCTGGCACTATTGGAAAAACAGGCACTTTCTTCTCTGTGGAGTGAGGACCTGTGAACTCCCTTTGGTGGTTAGTTTTGCCGTTCTCAGTATGGTCTCCTGATACACCATCCTGTAATAGGAATTTCAAGGTGCTACGTGGCATGGGTGGACTATAGGATCTGTAATTGCATAGTTAAGGCAGTTTGAACTACAGGGAAACAGCAAATTCATGTTGCTATATTCTGTTGTTAAATATAAAAGATTATCCCAGCACATTAATGGCTGCCTAGCTAGCAGGTAATAAATATCATAATTCTATCTCTTGCTAAGTAGCTATACACAGTAAAGATTACATCTTAAACTCTATACCTTCTGCTTTCAATTCACTTCCTAACTCTTATCTCATTTAGTATATTGTACGGTGGACTTTGCAAGGATTCGAAGCCTCCCAATTCTGACACCTTTTACATATTAAAACTTATAGAAGTTAATGGAGAGCGGATAGAGATACACACGAATAAATGACAAATAGCAATAACTAGCCCTTCTCACTTCAACCACCCCTCCCTCCTCATCAACTCGGCCGTCCACTCCTCCAACCTCTCCGCAAGCTTCCCATCCTTTGCATTCTTACTCAAGCACGTGGGCTCCCCAAACCTCCCAAAAATCTCCAAATACGCACCGCTCTGTTCCGGTTTCATATCACTCCCCGCAACGCAGAACAAACTATTCCATGACCCCTTATCAGCCGTCCAAAACAATCCGAATAGACGCAGGATAGAGAAAACCATCGACTCGAGCCAGCCAACCGACGAAGCGAGATTCGTTCCGACGATGCCTGGATGTACGCATGAGACCCAGATCCCGCCAGACCCCTCCCTAGAACTATTTTGTGTAGTGTGTAACGAGCCCGGTCCGTACCGTTTATGTAGGGTTTTCGTGTGTAGGATATTCGCGAGCTTGCTCTGTCCATACCGCGCCCAGGACCCATCATTTTTCAGGGATGTATCATCGAAATTAACCCCAGTCTTCGGTGCGCTCAGATGGCCCGACGAGGTTATATTCACAATGCGCACACCTCCCGTCGTCGTAGTGGTCTTAGCAGTCCGTAACAGAACCGGAAGCAGTAGTTCCGTGAACAGCCAATGCGCAAGATAATTCGTCTGCCACTGTGCCTCGTACCCGTCCTTCGTCAGTTCGTAGGGCGTTGCCATAATCCCTGCGTTATTGACGAGGCCGTGTAGCGCTGTCTCGCGGGATAGGAAGTCATTCGTGGCGGAGACGACGGTGGAGAGACCGGTGTGGTCCATTGTTAGGAGGGAGATGTTGGCGGTTGGGTGGGTTTCTTTGATGCGTGCTATTGCGGAGTTGCCTTTTTCTTGGGAGCGAGCGCACATGTAGACGTGCGCATTGTGGGATGCCAGGTGGGAGATTGTGTGGTAGCCTCTGTTGTTTAGTGAGGTCAGTAACTTAGAGCGAGGCAGGAGGGAAGGGGAAGGGGAAGAGGAGAGGAGACATACATGCCGGAGGTTCCACCAGTAACTATGTATATTTTCCCTGTGAGATCGGGAAGAGCGTCAGGGTGGAAAGGCATATTCAGAACAAGGGGTTGAGGCAAGTGTGAACGTTCAATACTCCGTGATTAGGTGGATGATTGGAGCCTTTCGAGGTCGGTTGGGATTGGGTCTTGGCTTTATTATGGTTCCGAAAACAAAAGCCTGGAAATTAAGATGCTGGTGATATGTCTATTCTTTTGCTCTTATTGAAGAATCTCTGGGATATTTATGTCTGCGGAGGACTTCCTCCTAGAATCCGATATGTGATCTACATCCGAGGTCAGCTTGGTTATAGAAATGAAGAACCAATAGGAGAACCCCGAGAGGGCCAGTGAGCCAGCTGCAGGAACCCTAGCCTCATCAAAAAATAAAGGTGCAATGTGATCAGGCTGCATGAAGCTAGACGTGTTACAGTTAGGCCCCCTTTCGGAGTTATCAGTGGTTGCTAAAAGCCGCCGCCCCGCCCCCGACGATGGAGTTGTCTTTGCTCGTCTTTGTGAGCAGGTTGCATGAGCCACCTCCCAACTGTCCTACATCTGCTCCCTACCCCCGCGTGATTCCACCACAACTGAGATCACAACCAAGTCCACAACTGAGATCATAACATCCACTATCATAATGAGTAATACGTATCGGACGGACATATCGGTAGAGCGCATCCAATTGGCCTCGATGCCGCAATTAGCAGAGGTACGTGTACGAATACGGCATGGCGTGGCGCGACTTGCTCACCGCAACAGGCGATAACCAGAAAAGATGACTGGACTGGGGTTACAGATGCCGCAGCACGCAGGCGGGCACAGACTCGCCTCAATACACGGGCATACCGTAAGTGCCTATGAGCAACCCGTACCTGTATCGGATTTTGAGTTCCTGTAGGAAAACGCAAAGCCCTAGCAGCCAAAGAAGCTGAAGTTAAAGCAACCAATGCCGCAACCGAAACACCGACCAAATCAGGAGGAAAAGAAAAAGAAGCAATGGTAGAATGCTGGGACATCACCGCGCAGTCAGTCACAACCATCCCAGCAACACTCGCCAAACAAATCTCTAGGGCAAGGAAGCCCCTGCTACCATCATGGCCACCTGCAGCCGCAGCCACAGCACACCCAGGAAGCTTGGAGACCCAGCCCTGGACGCAGAGTAGCAATAGTATCATCTTTCCCCTATGCTCCGACCACCTGATAACCCTCCTCCAATTCAACACAATCCGCGCGCTCGCCACAAACCGCACCCTGATCTCAGGAATCCTCACCACCCCGCTAGACTGCTACGAGGAAGTCACACATGTCATCCCCTACCCATCACACCCCCAGCTTGTTCCCCCGCACTCCTCCCGACAGCACTGCAACAAACAGTCCCCCACGGCGACTGGATCGACCTCTTCCCCTCTCCCAAGGGTCGAGACCGTCTGATTCTAGCCGTTGCGGCTGGTAGTTTTGACGAGGATGAACTGTGGGCTGATTGCATTGGTGGCTTGTACGAGGGGTTTCCTGATGCTGAGCATGTTGATGGTGATGCTGGTGTTGAGCGACGTGGAGTGATTGTGTGGTCGCCGCCGTGGGATATTAGGGGGTGGGAGATGACGAAGGGGTTCCTGGAGAAATGGGGGTGGCTGCTTGGGGATTTGCCGGGGGCGATGGAGGGGACGAATCGCTGGCGGAGGGAGAGGGGGGAGGAACCGTTGTAGGTTTCGTTAGAGCTTCTCCAGCTCATCCTATATGATCTGTGGTTTCTAGCACCGCTTCTCAATGGCCCATAAGTGTGTGCAGGTTGTCGGCTTGCCGAGTTTTACAGACTTTTCGGTCAGAGAGTTAATACTTTCCCATTGCAAACTTCATTACCAGCCAAGGTGATTGATTGACTTACTTTTTGCTCATGGACGTACTTAGCTGTTGATGAACTGAAATGATATCATTCTTACTTCCGCTCTCGTAAATGTCTGTGTGAACCGAAAAGCACTGTCCATGACGGCCACTTGTCCTTTCAAGCATCAGATTTCTTCTTTCCTTGTCCTTTTTCCGCATTCGACGTATTGAACTCATGTAGCGCACAGCCAGCTGGAACCATTGGGAAAACAGGCACTTTCTTCTCTGTAATAACCTCTAGTAAGGCGGGCCCGTCCGTGTTAATGAGCCACCTCAGGGAATCAGCTACATCATCTGGCTCGCTGATCCGACGGTGCTGGACGTGCATGGCTTTGGCAAACTCCATGAAGTCAGGGTTTAACGGGTGGGTATGCGCGTAGCGCTCTTCGTAAAAAAGTTTCTGCCATTGTGTTACCATCCCCTGTTCCTCATTGTTCAGTATGACAATTTTGACGACAATGTCGAATTGGGCCGCCGTCGATAGCTCAGTCAGGGACATTGCGAAAGAGGCATCGCCATCGATATCAACCACCAACGCCTCTGGGCGTGCCACCTTGGCCCCAATCGCTGCAGGCAGCCCATAACCCATGGTCCCCAATCCTCCCGAGGTGATCATGGTACGTGGGTACCGCCAGCGGAACTGCTGTGCCGTCCACATTTGATGACTGGCCAAACCCCGGTGGGGACGATCGTTTCATGTTTGCGATCAGCCGTCAGTTTGCTCAATTGCTGGATCACATACTGCGGTTTGATCAGGCGGGACGGGACGGGCCCCTGACTGCTTGTACAAATCGGGCGGCCACTGACTTTTCCATCCTTGGATCTTTTCGAACCATTCTCGCCGCTCTGCCATTGTTCTCTGCTTCACATGTGGCAAGAGCTCTGCAAGGCTGTCAGACACATCCCCGACAACGGCTTCGGTTGCCTGGACCACTTTATTGATATTTTTTGGCGTAATATCAAAGTGGACGATACCCCCACGACCCTCTGCTGCTGCCGCCTTTGCCGCAGGGGCGAATTTCTGGGTATTTAGAGTCACTCGATCGTCAAAGCGCGCACCAAGGGCAAGAATGAGATCGGCTTCTTGCATGGCCATGTTGGCATAGGCTGAACCGTGCATTCCCAACATATGAAGTGACTTTTCACCGAGTTCATCAAATTCTCCCAGTCCGTGCAATGTAGTGGTGACCGGGATTGATGATCGGTCAGCAAGCTGTCTGAGCAGCTCAGATCCGTTCGGAGAGCTTACTACCCCTTGACCAGCGTAGATGACAGGTCTCTTTGCCACGTCGATGGGTTCCGCTATGCGGTGAAAGGTTTTCGAGAGTGTTGCTTGGCTCGGTTGCGCTAAGGCGGACTCGGCAAGGCCGATATCATGGGGATCTCTTTCCTGAGCACGCCAGCCGTGACGTCCTTGGGAAGATCTACAAGAACCGGGCCAGGCCTTCCGCTTGTGGCAATCTGGAAGGCTTCATTGATTCTCTGCGGCAATTCAGAGACATGTTTGACCATGACATTCCACTTGGTACATGACCGGGAGATGCCCAGCATGTCGGCTTCTTGGAAACCATCGCTTCCGATTGCTGAGGTTGAAACTTGGCCACAGAAAACGATGATGGGGGTTCCATCAGATAGAGCATCTTGCATTGGGGTCACCACATTGGTCGCTCCAGGTCCGGACGTAACCAGAACGATTCCTGGCTTGCCTGAAGCTCTTGCATATCCCTCCGCCATATGTCCTGCGCCCTGCTCGTGGTTGGGGAGAATAAAATCAAAGTGCGGCGAATTGTATATGGCGTCAAAGACAGGAAGAATAGTTCCTCCTGGGTACCCGAAAATGTGCTTAACGCCATGTCGTCTCATCATCTCATGGAAGATCTGGCCTCCCGTCATTCCAAGAAACCTGTTGAGAACAAGCAAGATTAGCCATGACTAGTGGACTCCCATGTAGGATACACCCATACGACTTACCTCCTGCTTTTCGCGACTGTCGTGGATTGGATGACTGTGCATTGGAGGTGTTGAAGTGTGCGGCTGGGGACGCTCGCCTGTCAACGTGAAACATTAGACGACGAATACTTTGCGGAGCATATGTTTATGGTAACTGAAAACAACAAGAGCTAAGATACATTGACTGAGCCACGACAGAGAATGTCCTCCTGACATTCGGCTTCTTAAAAGCCTGGTTCAACAATGCGGCGATACGAACCCCCGACGACAAGAAGACATGTTGAATGCTTTGGCAGTCGGAGCCATTTGCTGGGCTTTCAACATATTGAATTGCCGAGGGATTTGTGGAGAAGTAGCGGAGGAAGAGAGAATAAAAAGATCAAAAACAACAATGCTGGGTGAGAAGGAGAATTGGAGGAGGGAAAGGATGTTGTTTCACCAGCTCTCCATGCTGTCAGAATGGTCCGTGGCCGGACCATCATTTGTAAACCCCTATAGATTCCGGGGAAACTAAGTATGGAATGAGTCATTCTCATGTTGGTAGGGACTAGTAGGCTGGTCTTTGCTGATGCGGGTTGCGACATCGGTTGAATTATGTATACATGGTGGTAAATGAGTCATGCACATGTGTTTTCCTGAGCAGGATCTCTATGGTCGTTCTGCGACTCTTTTTAAGACTACTTATGTTTTACCTCCTCTGAAAATGCGGTACTCTCTTTAGATGTTAAATAATAGTAATTTCCATCCGCTGTAGCTTGAGGTAGGATAATTCAAACGTAATATGGACTCTCATCGTATGTTGTCTTGGGCTAGGTGTAAAAATATCTATTCTTCCATTAATTTATCATCCACTAGCAGGAGCAGAGTGGCATTAAGCCCTCCTCTTCAAAAAGTAGCTTGTACATCCCACACCATGCTACGCAGCTCGCCATCTTGAAACCCTGCTCATGCTCCATGTCCATGACACCAGGTGGAAGAAAGGTTGGCGGAGGAGTGTTTCTAGGCCGGCCTTTCTCTTAGTGGTGGCGTCATGTCCAGATCTGCGTTAGAGCCTTATATTAACGATATCAAGAATAGACCGGAGGTGGTAGTCACAGTCAACTTCACTGATGTTCTACTAATCCATCAAATAGTACATCCTTGGCTCTAAAAGAACTACATACGATGCCCTTCCAGCGAAGAACAGCTGCGTCGATCCGGGACCCGTCAAGTACATTACAATTGGGAACGAAGACAATTACAATAGGATTAAGAACATATAAGATACCGTCACTCATTGACATATTCTTGCTAAGCGCAGTTGGTGTATTGACAAATGTAGGCCGAGATTTGCCACATCGTTAGCATAGCCTGGACTATCTTTCCTTCCCCCAACCGACGATGTGGACAAGTTAGACTCTGACACGGTGATTTCGTGGCGTCAGGAACTCTATCACAACCTCCTGCATTAGAATTCCCCAAGACTAAAAAGCTCCCATCTGACGCCCTGGTGTTCACTCCACTCACTGCCCTCTGGCTCAACGACTTTGCTCCAGCCCCTGATCAATGCTCTCCAGTAGCATGTCTCCGCAGCCGGACTATGATATCCTCCGTTGTGGAACAGCTCACGCTGTCTATCTGCAATGCCTCCGGCCATTGTTGGATGATTCTCCAACCATGCGATGGTAGCCTCGAGGTCGGACCAGTCCGGCGAGACCATCACCAGATTGGCATTGTCGGCATTAAGATCAGTTGGCCAGGCTCGCTTGATGCGATCCGACTGATGGGGAGGTCCCAAACTGGGTTCTGTCTGCAATAATGTGCTCGAAAAGACCGGTCGCACGAGGTGTGTGGTATGGAGCATCCACGCCATGGGCGGCGTCAGAATGATGGAGCGGCAAGCCTGATGGAAGAGCAGCCGTCCAGAGTAGGTTACCCCCTCTGTGTAGATGATGTACTTGTACCGACAAAAATCCTCAATGGCCAGTCCGTTACTGGCCGTCTGGCCGTTGGTTTCCCATTTCAAGGACTGTACGTCCGCCCACGGTTTGCCTGTGGTAATCTGAATTAGTCGCTTGCGCAGATCGTGGTTTTGCACATCGTTGAACCAAGGTGTGCCGCGCCAGATAGCTTGCGGAATCTTAGCCTGAAACGTCCGATTGGCTTCGATCTCGGCGATTGCAGTCAGTGCCCGGTCCATGGATCCAATATGCTTGATCGGCCATGCCCAAAAAGCAAAATGTGGCATGAGAAAGTCCCCTGCCTTGGTGGCCGTAGGATCTGCTGGACGCGCATATGACCATGACTGTGCCATTGGCCGATCCTGGATATTCAAGGCGAAAACAGTGTCTGGCAGGGGCTCCGGAGAAGTGATGATTGCGCGGTAGAGCTGGTTCAGAGCTGCTGTCCGTTCCTGGGAGAGCGTTATGTGCAAGTCCATTACAATCGGCCAGGATAAGCAGTTACATTGAGCATCTGCTGCGATAGAAATGCCTTCTTCTGCCAGTTTAAGATGTATAGCTGTACCTTCTGTCAGTGAAATTCCACTGGGTGGTCTGCAAGCGTACCTGATTGTCTTTGATGCGTCCCTGTAGCGGCTCTCCTAATCGCGACCAATTGAGAGCGAAAGGTCCGCGATAAACAGCATCCTCGATTTCATTGAATAGATTAGGAAAGGCGGCAGCACATTGGGCGTGAGTCCATGATAGATTGCTGAATGAATGCTGCGTTGCCCCCTTCTCTCGAGGAAAGGATTGAGGCGCGGGGCTGCCAGGCGTGCTTCCTCCCATTCGAAGCCGTAGACCCAGACATATAAGGAACGAACAACTGAGAATGAAGACAAGCCGCTGCACTAGTCTCATGATTCTACTCCCGCTATCGCGTCAACCAAGCATCTACGAATACAAGTCCTCAAAGCCTCATATCCTCTTGTGGTCGAACTCTCGTATCAATCAGCGTGGGCAAGCTGGTCTCGAGTTGCCTAGTCCGTCTACGTCTCTGCGGGGCGAAACTCCAGGGGTCGTTTCATGTTAACGGGATCATCGCCGCGCTCAAAGTGGTTAGAAGCATCTCTAGTTCGATATAGGGCTCATTTGGAGTATTGCAACAAGTCAAAGTTACTTGGTTACATAGGTTACACATGCACAGGTCCTAGAAGACTGTCAAGCTTCCCTTGATACGCGTCTGTAAGCCTTACTTTAGGCACAGCAAAAATTCCGACCATCCCATGGCGAGCCCTTGATCAGGCAATAATTCGTCGACTTCGGAGATATTCATAGTCGGGCATGGCGTCGCGCACCAGCGTCTCCAGCTTCGCGGCCACTTGCTCTCCAAATTCCTCCTTCCACTGCTTGAACTCGGCTTCTACATCTACCGCGGTCGGCGTTTTGTCCTTGATGATCCCCGTGGACGCGGACAGGGTCGAGAGCATGATCGCCTCAGCCTTGTCAAAATCGAAGTCTGTCTTTTTCTGGATCGGGGAATTAACTCTTACAGCTTCAGTTTCAGAGGCCACGGTTGGCGGTTTGGTCTCCCACTCAAACTGCAACGCATTTGGGTCGAGACCCGTCTCTTCGCAGTACCGGACGATCACCTGCGGATTGTGGATGATATCCTGCGCATCTACCACCAGGGGCTTACCGGGCAGGTCAGGCTGCTCGAGGCACCAGTCGTAAAGCATCCGCGTCCATTTCAAGGTCAAGTTCGTTTCCTGTGTCCCGATGGTGTCCTCCGACTGCAAAAGGCCGCTTTGCCGGAACTTTTCCATGGCGCGGCAGAGAGATGGGAACGCCAAGGCTGGGTGACGAATGATGAAGGTCAATCTCCAGGTCCGCAGGTATTCGTCAGGGAGAACTGTATGATTAAGAGGGGAGAACGTGTGCGAGGGACCGTACTTGTCAGGAATGCGCGGTCGGAAGCTGGCGGCGTCTTCGGTCATATTCCCCAACGCGGCTGGATTAGTGATCCAGAAGGCGTGCTCTTTGGCGAATGCAATCTTCCCCTCTTGCTCTGCTCGCTGAGAACAGTCCTCGAGACCATCGACCGCTTCCTGGAAGGCATCGCGGATCTCCTGCTTCTCGGCTTCATTCCGCTCTTCTATGGGTATACTTAGGCGGTCATTCCAGGCGACCTTGAGAAAGGCGTTGAAGAAGAAATAACCTCCTTTCTCGGATGTGACCAACTTCTGACAAGGGATATTGAGGAGCTTGAGCATGAGATTCGATGCCGTGCGTGGGACACTGATGAGTAGCAAGCGGGACGGAGACGGCGATTCGTTGACCTCAGCCATGATGGGTAAAATCAGCAGTATAGCAGCAGAAAAAGGATCAATGAGAGATCAAGATGATGGCTGCATCCCGCTGTCAGATGGCGTGATCGAGCTAACGGGGTATTTATACATCGGTCTCGTCTCTCCTTTTTCATCTTTCACTCCTTTTGCCCAGAAGAATGTTGCTCCCCGCTTTCCCGCCGCATGGTCCATTCGTCATCGACCTCAGCCAGAGGCCCGTTGGGCGTTGCTGATTGATCGTCCGCCCCCAAGCAGTGGGGGTTTCCGGTTTCTTTCCGAAAGAGTATTTGACAGGGCTTGCTTTTCAAGGGCGGCCTATTATTGGACTGTCAAACTGTCGATCACCCGATGGGGAGCAATAACATGACCAAGAAGAAAGCGATCTCCATGCATCTCATTGAAAGTCTCATGATCCTTCTCGGCTTTCGGCCACTACAAAACCCGAGAAGATGTGCTAGACAGGGATTAAAGCCGGGAAACACTACACGAGGTCACATCCGATTAGACAATGATATGGATTTAAGGATGCTTACAATTTCCGCTTACTAAAGGTGGGACACCAAACAGAGCACCTGCAGCATCATGCTCCCCTCCGCACATAATTCGACATCGCGCAGCAAAACAAAGGCAGAATCCCCTATCCCATTGTGACCTAAACAACGTGTTAACTCCCTCAAAAAGTCGCCTTGGCCAGGTTGGAGTCAAAGTTGGCATTCTTGAAAGGCACATTGGCGTCACCAAAGTCGGTGTCCTCCAGTGCCGTCTGAGCTACTGTTGGCAGACTCTCCCAGGCGATCAAGGGCTGTGAGCCTCCCACAGTCGAGGTGAGGCCACATTGGTGATCTACCGGCCAGATGCTGTAGTACTCGACGAGAGGTTTGGTGCCGCTGAGGGTGTATCCATCTGTCGAGCAGTCCCAGCCACCATGGGCGGACGGACACACGGCGACAATGTTGTCAGCCGAGGTGGACGTGGACGATGAGAGCCAGACAATGACTCCCTCCCAATCATGACGATGTCCCAGCCCGGTCGAGGGCTCGTCTTTGGGGAAATACCACGAGTACATGAGGGCGTAGTTATCGCCATACGTGGCCCCGCGCACATAGATCTGACCGGTGCTGCTGGCACAGTCGCCGTTGGATGCTCCTGTCGGGGCCAGGCCAGCGCTATTGATATTAGCTCCAACACTCCAACAGATCACTGAGTCGTGCCATGGGAGAACCTACTTGGTGTTGCCCTGTGCATCGACTGCGGGGAAGGGAACGCAACCGTTCACCACCTTGAGGTACGGCTGATAGGCAAGATAGACCTCTCCGGTAGTACCACTGGGAACATTTTGGGGGAACCCTACCACCGCATCGCTGTCGATGCTCGCTCGTGGCAGCACGGCTCCCTGGGCGAAGCCTCCGAGAGTGGCAAGAGTGAGAAGGAAGGCCATGTTTGCGCGGGTCGGAGCGATGTGCTGCACAATAGCCACGCGGCGGACAAGAACAAGGAACCTCGGCTTTTTATAGTCATAAGCTTTGTCAACTAGTGTATAACACAGGAGAGAAGCGTTATTCATAAATCTCTTGGCGGGATATCAATTCTCCGCTATGCCCACGCCCGGTGCGATGGTTTATTTCTTATCAGGTTTGTAGCCGATGAACGTGACGAATCCAGCAATGATCAGTGGCCAAGGCTCTCTCCGTGGCTAGTCTATAAGAAACACGCCATCTACTCAACGAGACTCGTGGCATTTTCATAGCGGAGACATGACGAATCCTTGGGTGTTTTCCGCCAATCGCAAGAGGTCGGGATGGACTGCAGCAGGAGACTATATTAGGGCTCCTGCCGGATCAACATGTGCAACTATGCTTCCGTCTGATTCACTCTTTATTAAATTTGAATGAGTACGAATACCTTATTGACAACAGGTTGTGTATTAGGATTCAATAATCGTTGGGCTCAGGTTAACCCATGTATGAGCTGACGAATGCATTAAACAGCACACCATAGTATACAATACATTGAACATGCGAGGTAACCCCTGAAGTAGTATGGCGGATGAAGGAATAACTACCATCACAGGGCACCGCCGCTCTTCATGGCACCCGGAAAATCGTCCTTGATGGCATCCCAGAGTGGCCTACCGCCCATCTGCATGTCTTTGAACGCCGGACACGACATGTCCAGGAGTGGGACGGCGATGATCTTGTTGATCAAGTCCAACGGGGCTGCCAAGGTCTTGTAAACTCCAGCCAAAGCATTAGGACTGGCAAACTTGAGAACTTCAAAGACAAAGCACAACAGATTATTTCCCTCCAAGAGGGTGGTAAGGTTCAGGACGCCTCCCGTCACATCGGCGAGATTCACCCCCGTGAAGCTGTTGACCGTGCCGGTATTTCCTCCGATACTAGATGATTCATGATGAGCGGCGTTGGAAGCAATGGGGTTGGCAGGAGCAAGAGGCTCACCTTGCAAGTTCCGGATGTTTGATCATCCAGTCCACCAAGTCGATATTCAACTGTACCAGGCCATAATCTACCGGCGTCTTGTACCAATTCTCAGGGATCCTTTCCCATCCTTCGCGGTACGTCAGGTTTCCTTCCTCTCCATAAATGCCGTAAAAGTTGCGAACAACCCCCTTGGCTAATTGCTTGTCAGTTTTGCATTCACTCTCCGGACGATTGATCCTTACTCAAGACACCCTCGGGGTTCTCGCGCGAATGATTGCGGAACAGTCGTCCAGGGAACATATAACCAGCATTCCGAGCAATAAGACCCGTCACTGGGCCGTAATAGAATTCCGGATTCGTCTGAATGCTCTGCTCAAAGCGGATTTTGGCCCGCTCAGCCATCAGATCCATGCTAAAAGTCCCGTCGGTCGACATGTTATACCATTCCATGAACTTGTCCATGTTCAGAGCGTAGTTGTTCCCAGTGACATACAGGTCGTCCCGTGTGTTGGAGGAATCGGCCTCGATAAAGTTGTGCGAACCAATAAGGCCCTGTGGCTCACCTAGCATGCATTAGTCGTGGAATATTCGTCAGCTGTGAAACTGGGAGCATACCGAGTAGACCCCCCAGATTGTTGAGCAGATTGTTGACTCCAGTATCGCGACCTCCGATCGAGAAACTGGGGACGAGAGCAAGCGGATTGCCCGTCCACACGAGTCCCATGAGAGCCAGGATGGTGGTCAGATCCACTCCCATTCCATACACTGTAAATGTCAACGGCCTAGGCCCAAGCAACAGATATCATTTAGATATCCTTACCCTTGTTGACGGCCGCGATGACCTCCGCGAACTGCTTTCATGTCAGGGCCAAAGCTTCTTCTCGCTCGGTAAGGACCACGTACCGACACAACACCGCTGCGAGAGATATAACCGTGATTCGCGAGAGCATTCAACGCAGGACAAGGACCCCGTTGGTCCCCTTTCTTCGGGGGCTGGAACGCGTGTACGCCGGTCACTGTTGCTCTATTAGCTCCATTTTCACACCCTCACAGTCCAACGGGGATAAGAACGGAATATACCATCAATGGGCTTGGACATCGGGTCCAACAGGAATCGCCTTCCCAGCTCTGGATCTTGTCGCTCCTTCAGCGCGGCGTATGGGCAGTTCGTATGAGCAGATCCACCCGTACGATCAGGAAAGCCTGAGGCCAGGGAACCCAGACCTAGAATGGCCAAGGAAATAATCGCCCTCATCCTGGAATTTACGTCTCACGGCCACAATCAGTTCTAGCAGCGTCAAGAGAAAAATCTTTCCAGGAAAAGTGACAGTAAAGCACCGGCTGGGAAACTCTCGTCAAGGAAGCTGGAATTGTCTGTATACAAATAGACGGTTCGTATTCAGTGACATACCCCAGGATATGCCCCTAGAGATCCAGTATTTGCGACGGCGATCACTATACCTTTTACTAATCACTTTCTCCTGAGTCGAGCGGGACGTGAAGCTCGCACTGAGCTCCTAATTCAACTACACGGCAAATCCGACCCCATGGTTCTAAACGATATTAAAAGACTAGCAAGAAGCCAAGAACCCGAGATAGGGGGTCGTCATGTAAAAGTACAGGGCTCCACATGCCAGTCGACTAAATACATTATGTATGAGTTAGAATCCTTGGGGCACGGAATCATCCGAAAATTATAGGCACGCAAGGGCAAATCGAATAAGTTCATAGTCTAAAATGACATGCGAGTTTCTTGCCAATTTCGACATGGTAACCAGACACCGTAGCCCTAGAAGACTAGAACCCCAACAGACAAGGAACCCACTCAGAAGCATCTCCTTTGAACCTTATTTACTCTGGAGTCCCGCGTTTTCCATTCTGGTCGCTAGAAACAGCCTGGTTCAGCTTTAGTATCATTTGCCGTTACCTAAAGCGGCCGTAGTCCCACCACCGGGCGTCTCAGATATCCCGCGACAACAAACTGGCCAACGTCGATCAGACCCGCTCAAGAAACAAACCCTCGTCGCTCAGGTTGCTGTCGAAGATCTGCACATAGATACCTTCCACAAAGGGGTGTCCTGAATTCCGAAGTAAGTCCGCACCGAACACGAGCGACCCCGCGCCTAGTCTTAGCTGCATGCATTTGGGCTCCATTGTGGCTTCTAGCAAGAAGCAGACAAACCAATCATGACTTTTGGCAAAATGATAGGGCGGAGAAGAATCCAGTTCTGGCAGTGGACGGCTTGGTGGTCTCCAGAACGGCTTGCTATGGAAGCTGCGGCACAAAGTACCACACTGGCAAAGATATGTCGTATGCGGTAGGGCTTAAAGCAGAGCTTTGGATTTAAGACATCTGCATGTCATGACCATTTGTTCGCGAAAGTGTATATGATGTGGAGTATGTGTTTATCTGTAACAAGCTTGTTAGCAATAGACTTCATCTACACCTGGTATTCGCATCGCCGTGAGATTCCGATTAAGACAAACATCAAAATGCTTGAATCGGTCGGTTCTCAGGTGCTGGATAGGGCCTGAGCAAAATAGCTTCCCAGGTGAGCTGGAAGAAGCCAACAGTGAAGACTTTTGAAGTAGCACCACTCTGGAGTAGCTGCCATGCACGGTGTCGATCGTAATAGGACCCAAGGCAACAAGCAGTCGAACCTGACTCGGCTCCATTAGGTAATTGTTGATTGCTTGTCTTCGAGTTGGAGTCCTGACAATTCAGATATCTGGAAGGTGCAAGCCGATGGGGGCAAGATACAATGGCCCACGTCTGTTCAATGCTTACCCCTTTGATAACACGGAAAAGCTGGTTTGTGCTTTGCTTAAGGTTCATGTCCGTGTAACGCCACGGTTCCACAGGATTGTGTGGCTAGAAACTGTTATATATCCCTTGATTTGCATGGCCAAGGGTTCTGCGACGTTTAGGGGGAATCCGGAACTTCCAGATCAGCAGGTGAGACGGCCAATCAGCGCAGCCACCGGAGCTTTTGCAAATCCTTTTAGTTACCAGGGGGTTTGGACAATTTGTTACGACTCGCTGCATGACAAAGTCCCGGGGATATGCCGAACTAGTGTGCTGCATAGGGCAGGACCGAAAGACATCGCGGGGTGATCAGACCTTTCCAGCTGTGTGGTTGTCGGACTGTAACCGCTTCATGCTGTGGCACTTGCCGGTAGGAGTCACCGTGGGAATGCATTAAGGAGGTTCTCTTTATGTTTGGGGTTCTCTCTTTCATCTCGCTGTAGCTGGAAGATTCGCATGTTGTTCGATCCACCTCCAGGTGTTTATCCCAGACATACGCATTCAGCAGAATGAAGGTGCTCGGGATTCTCCTTGTCCTTCTTTCGTGGGCTGGCTATGTTGCGGCCAACAACATGGAAAAGCTGGCGGCAGCTTTGCCCTCATGCGCAGTAAGTCAACAGCGGTATGTTGTCGGTGTTGGAGGGAGCATGCTGATATATCCAGCTGCAATGCATGGTGTCGACGATCCCCCATTCTCCCTGCACCCTCACAAACCAAACGTGTATGTGTACGGATCCAGTCTTTACCGGCACACTTGAGATATGCGTCCAAGCAAACTGTACCATTCGCGAGTCTCTAGGTAAGACCATGTCTGTAGGCTCCGAGCCGTCCGAATGACTGACTGGATTAGCTACGAAGAATGTGACTTCATCAGCTTGTGGAGTGCCGGTTCGAGACCGGACCCGTGTAGTCTCCATTGCCGGCGTTGCTGGAGGAGTTTTGGCACTGATGGCTTTTGTTTTGCGCATGATCGCGAGGCTGCCATTCTGTGGTGGTCAATTTGGAATGGATGATTTAGCAATGATCGTAACGATGGTGAGAAACTTTGGCTTTGCGCAGTTGAGGCAAGCTAATTCGCTCAGTCACTGGTCATTCCTCTTTCTGCCCTGTCGGTTGTCTGTGTGTAACCCTTATTTCGCCTTGTCAACAATGCTGCGTATATACTGACTGTCATCGCAGTGGCAAATTTGGGTCTGGGAAAAGACCTCTGGACAGTGTCGCCAGACAATATCACGCATATCCTCTATGTGAGTTTCCTCAGATGGCAGTGTCACGGGTGATATTAACAGAAATCCCAAGATCTACTTCTACGACGAATTATTGTATCTCAGTATCATCCCACTGACCAAGATCTCTATCTGTCTCTTCTATCTACGTGTGTTTCCCGCGCGTCCTTTTCGAATCGTGACATATGTCGTAATCGGGCTGAATGCGGGCTACCTGATTGCTTTTGTCTTGATCTCGGTCTTCCAATGCAGACCCATCAAGGGCGCCTGGCTGCACTGGGACGGGGAAGGCCACTACTCGTGCAACGACATCAATGCCCAAGGCTGGTCTGCAGCGGCCATCAACATGGTTCTGGATCTGGTTGTTATGGCCCTGCCCTTGCGCGAGCTGTATCGGCTCAATCTCTCACTGCGCAAGAAGCTTTTTGTCATGTCCATGTTCAGCTTAGGAATCTTGTAAGTCTTCTGCTTGCATATGATCTCTTCTCGGAGCTGATGCAGCACAGTGTCACTTTGGTCAGTATCGTCCGACTCAACTCACTCATCCATTTTGCCGCGACCAATAATCTTACCTGTAAGTCCAACCCTAGGATGTGAATTGCACGGTATCTGTCTGACAGTTGTTCTGTGCCACAGGGGACTATGTCGAAATCGGATACTGGAGTACGATCGAAGTCCATGTGGGCATCATTTGCGCCTGTCTGCCGGCCATTCGTGCCTTAATGCGTCGTCTATGTCCGACCCTGTTCGGAGACACTACTCGCGCAGCTTCCAAGCAGAGCGCGACTCGGTCGGCAAGAGCTGCTTCCAGAGGAGAGGGAAATATTCTCAATCGCCCCAGCCTCAATGGTTGGTCAGAAGGAAAGTTTGTGCCGTTGGTGGACTTGGAACATCCCCCAAGAGACGCCGGTCGTCCAGCATGATATGGAAGGCGTCTGGATGGGAATCCCGCTCTTAGTATTGCAAATAATCGTCTTATCCACATTCATTCTTTCCCTTTGTCAAGATATATCGTTCTTATATTCTAAGGGTTTCGGTTCCGCATGACTCCATCGACGTCAGCTTCGGCTGTGTTCTACCTACAAACCACCAATATCTTCCTCGTAATCAGCGCTGGATATTAATCAAATTCGAAGGGTAGTATCCACTGGCGTCTTGTCGATAATCTACGTTGCGCACTGCCATAGACTATACACCCTGTTGCAATGAAGCTCAGACAGCAGCAATGTCTCAGTCACCCTGAATTTCTCAACTCGCCAACGGAAAGCAGCATAACGGCACTTGAGCATGGCTTCCAGGCAAGATACGCTAGTTCCAGTAAGACACAACTCAATTGGGCAAAATTCCCCATTCAGTAAACAACACGACGGCATGTTCGCCATTAGTAAAAAGGGGGACTGCCGATTGTCTCTCGGAAAAAGCCTTGTATCACAAAACGAGCCGTCAATTGCCTTTTAGGTTAGGCACTGACAGCCCGCTAAGTCTAAAACCGTCCGTCAAAACGGCGCGAACTTTGTTGAGCACCACCCCTCTGAGTGCTCCACAACAGTAATTTCTCGGCTCCACAAGGTATGGGCTCTATTGGTGGGCAAGGGGAACGTCGGGGAAGTAAATGATCGTCCAAAGCTAAACCATCTGCGGAGAGAATCCGACTGTACCTAGTATGAATATTGTTGGTTAGGTCGGGAAGTACCTAGTTGATATTTTGGGTAATGATCACTCCAGATACGTCTGACGTCGATGTCATGGACTGGGGAATGATTCACACATTTGGACATTGTATGCGACAATAGCGATGATTTGGACATTGTATACGAAAATAGCGATAAGAAAATAGCAACAGGAACATGGGTTAAGAAGAGTTGTCCGACGTATGACTCGCCCTCTGCTAAGGATACACTAAGCGCATCCTGGCGTGCTTTGACAACCCAATGGGGTTCTTCTCGTAAAACATCCCGTTCGGGGAGCATTACCAATGTCGGTCGACCAAGGGACACGCGGGACGTATTTTAGTCACGCAGACTGGGGCTAACGTATTTCCTGGGCGAGCGGGACACCCGACCGAGCGGGACACCTCTATATCCCACATAAAATGGCACATATCAAGGCTTCCATATCTCAACAACCAAGCATCTACAGGGTCTGAGATTTGATAGGAGGTGTTAGTATAATCATACAGAGTTATATTTATAAGCCACAGCCTTCTAGTATATGTGAATACTCAGGTAACATAAATTACATTAGTATTTTTGGTGAAATTAGCTTTTTAGACATTAAGAGAGAAGGATGGAATTTTAGGGCCATGCAAAAAAGTATTCATATACTCTAATCTGTATATAGTCTAAATATCTTGCTTATATTGTAGCATATATGGACGTGGTTGAGATATCAAAGCCTTGAAGAGTGCTATTCTATATGGAATACAGAGGTGTCCCGCTCGGTCGGGTGTCCCGCTCGCCCGGGAAATACGTTAGTGTCCTTTGGGTCCAGGCCGGCGTAGGAGCAGTCCGTTCGTATTATTGCTCCCAGTCAGGTACGCCTATGTGCGCCACGCCTCGCAGCGATAACCCAAAGCCTCAGGGCCATCGGTAACAGGAGAAACAGCGGACCATCGACCGTCCCTTTGCGAGTGTCGATCAATACTCACGTTGGCTGCGTGATGGAAAGCGTTGCGACAGCTGCATTTCAGGAGACTCTGCTTCTGATGTTCTGCAGATATAAACTCGTCTTGAATCAGTGCTTTGCTCCTTGTTAGGGTCGCTTTGTCCGGCAGCATCGCAAGTCCCTTGACCACAAAGTCATTGGCCCAACATGCACATCAACAAGGGCTTCTCAATATGCACCCTCCTCTTTGGGACTTTGGTCAGGTACGCAGCCTTGATTCTATACCTCGTTTAGATCGTCCAAATTGATAAATGCTGACACTCTCACTCTATGCTTTTAGTGGTCATTATGCAAGCCACCAAGCGTATCACGAACCCCAGGCTCGGTCAACATACAATGCTCCACGAGCGACCAATGGGACCGCAGAGTATGACTATATCGTTGTCGGCTCTGGACCTGGAGGAGGCCCTCTGGCAGCCCGGCTGGCAATTGCCGGGTTCAAGGTGCTGTTGCTCGATGCCGGAGATGATCAAGGAGATGCCTTCCAACAGCAAGTTCCCGCTCTTCAGCTGCAATCAACCGAGTATGAGCCGATGAGATGGGACTATTTTGTGAATCACTACTCGGATCTCGAGCGTCAGAAGCAAGACTCTAAGATGACCTACCGGACTCCTGCCGGGGAGTTGTATGTGGGTCGGAATCCTCCAGCGAACTCGGAACCCCTGGGCATATTGTATCCACGTGCAGGCACACTGGGTGGTTGCTCGGCGCACAATGCCATGATGTGAGTCTCCTTAATTGCATGAGATTTCCTGGCTGTATGTTGACTCCTGTAGCACCATCTACCCGTATGAGAGCGACTGGCAAGATCTCGCCACGCTTACTGGCAATGACTCCTGGGACCCTCAGAAGATGCGCGGCTACTTCACACGCCTCGAGCGCAACCGATACCTTCCCAGCAGCCTGATAGGTCATGGTTTTGACGGTTGGCTGACCACCAGTCTTACCCAATTGACCCTAGTACTGGAGGATCAGAAGCTGTTGTCCTTGGTCATTGCGGCAGCCACCGCAGTGGGAAAGTCTCTGCTGGGCATGATCATCACTACCGTCACTGGGTTGGGGGAGATCCTGCTGCGCGACCTCAACAACCCGCTGCCCACCCGCGACCAGCAGACTGGACTCTTTCAGGTCCCCATCGCGGTAGATGTGCCCGAGTACAAGCGCACTGGTCCTCGTGACTTTCTCATGAAGACCGTCAACAGTGTCAACAAGGACGGCTCTCGCAAATACCACCTGGACATCCAGTTAAATACACTGGTAACAAATGTTCGTTTTGACACGACCGGTGAGAGACCCAGAGCCATCGGTGTCGATTATCTCCGGGGCCAGAGCCTGTACCGCGCCGATCCCCGTGCGAGCAACGCATCCACAGGAACTCCTGGCAGTGTCAACGCTGCCAAGGAGGTGATCCTTTCGGCAGGTACCTTCAACACCCCCCAGCTGCTCAAGCTCAGTGGCATTGGGCCCAAGGAAGAGTTGAGCAAGTGGAACATCCGCACCCTGGTGGACTTGCCTGGCGTGGGCAAGAACCTGCAGGACCGATATGAGACCGGCGTTGTGGGCAAGGCCCCAACGGACTTTGTCCTCACAAGCAAGTGCACCTTCATGTATAGCATGCCTGATCCCTGCCTGGACCAGTGGAAGAACAACGCCATTGACAAGGGTACCTATACAACCAACGGCATTGCCATCGCTATTGTCCGTAAGACATCCACGGCTGAAGGAAATCCCGATGTTCTCATATCAGGAGCTCCAGTCAACTTTCCAGGCTACTATCCCAACTACTCGTACGAGGGCCTGAAGGATGCGCAATACTGGACCTGGATTACCCTGAAGGCCCAGAGCCGGAACAATGCCGGCACGGTCGAACTGCGCTCAGCGGACCCTAGAGATACTCCGATGATCAACTTCAACTCCTTCGATAGCGGCGTGACGGAAAATGGCGCAGACGAGAAGGACCTTCAGGCTGTCTATGAGTCCATGCTGTTTTCCCGCAAGATCTTCAATGATCTGGTGCCTTTGGACGGCAAGTTTGAAGAAGTATGGCCCGGACCCAACGTGACCTCCGAGGCCGACCTGAAGGACTTTATCAAGCGGGAGGCATGGGGTCATCATGCCTGCTGTACCGCCGCCATTGGAGCCGACGAGGATCCAAACGCTGTCCTTGACTCGGACTTCCGAGTGCGTGGTGTGGATGGCCTGCGCGTCGTGGATGCTTCGGTGTTCCCCAAGATCCCGGGGTGGTACATCGCGCTTCCCATTTACATGATCAGCGAGAAGGCGGCCGACGTCATTATTGCCGATGCTGCGTAGATATTCTCTCAGTGATGTATATACATTGTCCTGTTCTTGCTGGAGCGCTGCTGTTGAGGCCCATTGTATGTTAAACTACCTTCAGCCATAATCTTAATCAGTCGAGTTCTGCGCAAGCATCTCGGTGGACATGGTACTGTGGCGTGCTCTTAACTCTAGAATCTTACAATTTCGATCCTGACTTGGCTATTTTAATCAAAGCCCGACCGTTGCTCAGGACTACCTTGCCCTTGTCATTCTTGGTCACAAATCGGATCTCTTCGAACCCATCCGTGGCATCGCCGACCCTCCACATTTCCGTGGTGAGACGGTCACCTGGCTTCACGGGAGATGCAAACCGGGCCTGGAATTCGCGAAAGTTGTTGGGATTGCTTCCGCCAAACGCCTTGAGAATGGCGTGCGCAGCACTGTTCCAGCTGAAGAGACCGTGGATGATGGTGCCTCCGAAGCCCATCTGCTGTCCTGGCTCGGGTGTAGCATGAAGAGGGTTATAGTCGCCGTTCAGACTTTAGGGAGGACTAGTTAGTCAAAGTCCTTATCGACCAGTGCACGCGTCGCAACGACTTACCGATACAGAAGGGGAGTTTCGGCTGTGGTTTGCACTTCATGTGTGGCATCAGGTTTACGCCCTTCTGGGGGCGGATAGTTGGGAGTACTAGGGCCTAGAAATCAAGTTAACGTCTGCAACTCGAGAGGGAGAAAGGACGCAAGTAACTGACCCTTGGGACCTCCCCAGTTACCCTGGCCGACAAAGAACCCACTGCTCACTATCTTGGTGTAGATCTCCCCCGTTGACTTGTCCACGATGGTTTGTTCTGTCTCCATCACTGAACCAGCCTTGCCCTTGTCGTAGACACCGATGACCTTGTTGCGCAATTCAAACTGCTTTCCAGCACTGCTCGGGGGCAGGGGCTTGAGCACGGTCAATTTCCGCTGGCCATCCACCGAGCGTCTGGGGTCGAATTTGGGGACACCGGGAACTGGATTGGCTTTTTGACGAGCATAAAAGTCGGTCACCTCGGAGTCTGTAAGCTTGAATGCTATGTTACAAGAGACGTCAGCCGGATTGACCATGCAGTGTTCTCTCTTTGTCGGCGCAACTTACACAGGATAATCGGATAAGTCGGAAAGACGGCAAAACTAGGGTGCAGCTCCTTTTTGAGATTGTTAATAATGACCCTGAAAGTTCTGACAGCAGAGGGATTTCGTACGTAGAGGAAGTGCAGTTCGTCGGCGTTCGCACCGATGCTGTTGGCAAAGAGCAACACATCCCGCTTGAGCCAGGAGACTTCCTGGGCGGGGAATTCGTAACCAGCTCCGGGTCCGGACATTTCGAGTTGAGAGTAACGTAGACTTTTCTTCTTTTGGTTTGCAATTGATGAAAATGCAGTGATTGATGTAAGACGAACGACGCTGGCTATTTATAACCTGTGGTGTTTATGCGGGGTTGCCGAGGCATTTCGGGACGCGTTGTCATCGTGTAGACCGAGCTTCGTGCGACTTTAGATTTATCAACATCTTCCATTTGGCTCCGTCGGATATGTACAATTCTGGGGAAATACACCTTGGATAAACCTGTGTGACGACCTGTTGTTTAGAAGAGTATCATATATAGTAGTAGAACTGTCTTGGACGCATCGTGGTGATGGAATCAGTGCAAATATATATCTGTGAAGCTACCTACTTATAAGACACAGAAACCAGGACCCAAAATTCTCTCCAGACCACGAACTTTGAGGAAGCTAAAACTTCCATGGCAGATAATTATCGCTTCTCAGAATAATGTCAGGCCGTCAAGAGAAACATCAGAGGATGAGGCGCCATCATCGTAGGCCCGTCATCTTTGAACTTGGATGCCTGGGGAATCGGGCCAAAAGAAGCTGTTCACGTGATAACGGTCAGGTGACTCTAGAGAGACGGTCAAATCGATCAACAAACTCACTCCACGTGTCCATCTTCATCAAAATGCATCTCAAACAATGTTTTCTCCGAAAAGAGTGCAATTACACTTCATATGACCATGATAAATGCATACACACCATAAAGGTGGTTACATTTTGCAGTCAATGTTGGGCCTCATCCATGAGAAACTTCACATTATTCCATCCATTCTCTCAAGATGCGCTTTCGGGATCGCCCATTGCCCAGTTCGATCCTCTTTAGCATCCTGATTTTTGGTGGCTCTGTAACTTAAAGGTAAACCTCTAGTGGTCTGGGTTCTCAAAAGTGACGAAAGGCTCCCAACCATCCGAACATACGGCAGCGAGTACCGGCTTTTTCGCAGCAGCTAAAATTGGTTAAAAATGCGATCGATGACGGTCTCGCAACAATATCCACGGTCGGAGCGAAATTCGCCGCAAGCAGCTTGGCTAGAACGGTGAGAGCCAGGATCTCTGGGCAGGAGGCGACAGTCAGCCCGGGCCATGCGAACCTGCAAACCCATAAAACAGAAAGCATGGCAATTACCGCGCTTCCGGGCCTGGTATCAGCCCTCTCGGCGTAAGCAGTGGAGCATCTGAGGCTATGTTAGCACTCGTTGTTGGATCTTCGCCACGGTTCATACACAATCCAGATACTGAAAGTGACCAGAAATTCCTACAGCCGCGATCCAGAAGAGCTTCAGTCGCCCCAGATATCGCCCACTGGGAGGACGACAGCCCGATGGCAACGAGAAATGACCACACCTGCAGATCGCCGGTGATGACGGCCTGGTCGTAAGAGGATACAATTCCACCGGAGTTCAAGATGGAGTGAAGGTAATAAGAGACAAGTCCGTTCTCAGATCATTGGAAGCAGAGGCACCATCGCAGACGGGAATCTCTTTCCCTAGACGGATGGTATTTTTCATTTCCTTTCATGCAATGGAATGGTATTCGAAACCATAGAAATCATCTGACTGATCCATATTGGCATGTTACGGATTTTAATGTGAGCCCAGGGCGTCCAGCGATGGTATGTTCTATTCACCCTGAACAAGTGTCTTTGACGGCCTCATTTTCGGTCTTTGCCGTACAACCAGCGAGCGCTTTTGGGGAAGAGCAGGATACCGACGAGTTGAATGGATGGAATGGCCGCTTGCTTTCAACCACGCTTCCCCATGATGCCGCTGAGGTATATTTGACCATCCCAATAATAGTCCAAGGTGCAACGATGGACCCGAATTTGAGCTGGGATAGTCCGCGCCTGGCACTCTTCACCACGCTGGACGGATCATGATACCAGAGACGCACTAGAAGACTTAAGCACAGACACTATGATTTCAATTGCGGTAAAGAGGCCCAACATAGATGCGGTGGGATTGCTGAAGTCTTATTTGGGTCCCCCATGTATAGAACGGACGACATAAGCAGGTAGTGGGCCACATACAGACTTGGCAGGGTGTCGTGGTCTTAAGGCGCCTAGGAGTGACTCGTGATACCCATTATTGTGCTACTGTAGAGCACAAGTCTCATGAAAATACGGGGAGAAGGTATCCAGATAATCGTCTGATCGATCCATAGTGGATAAAGTGATCCGGCGGTCTGGGACACACCATGGTTACAGATACTCCTATTGGTTGGATTTTGGCACTACAGAATCATATGGTTCAGTCTGACCAATAGGGACGATTCAATGGCGAAACCCCGCAAATTGCCCAGATTCGATCGATATTACCGTATTTAGCCGGAATTGAAGCATGAGAACCAGAGGGGCCGCAACCCCTCGACCCTCGACCCCTCACAGCCTTTGAAGAGGGCCAGGAAATGTGTTCCGCAGAACGCAGTGCACTCCCACGGGATATCACCCAATGGAGAATTGCCAAACCTGGCACCAACTGTGAGACACGAACTGAAACAGTTGGTGCCACTTGCAGTACTTTGCTGGTGGGAGTTCCCAGGGACTGTGACCTAGATGGGATATAAAGGTGTTGTCCTCAAGATTCAAGCTGCCGTTCAAACGACCTCGAACCTCCAAATCGCCGTCAAAGTTAGCCAAGTGACCTTCAACATCCTGTTCCTGTTCCACCATGGCTTCACAAAACGTCGAGATCCCTCATCTCCGCTCCACCGAGGGTGGAAAGCAGCTGATCGTTAACGGTCGCCCATTTCTGATATTGGGTGCAGAGCTGCAAAACTCGTCGCTTACCTCGGCCGAGCATATGGACACAGTCTGGCCAAATCTGGTAGAGTCTCATGTCAACACTGTGCTAGGATGCGTCGCTTGGGAAATGATTGAGCCCGTAGAAGGCCAATTCGACTTCAAGGAACTGGACAAGATCATTCTGGGAGCGCGCCAGCACAGAATCCATCTTGTATTACTGTGGTTCGGCTCCTACAAAAATGGTAGCCTTCCACCAGTCGAGACCGATTGCTTATGCCCTGCAGTTCGGCGAAAAAGCTAATAATCGCCCACAGGAATGTCAACGTACGCTCCCGCGTGGGTCAAGACGAACCCCAAGCGTTTCCCCCGGATGAAACTGCGAAAGGCAGGAGGTGTCCTACAGACCACCGAGATCCTGTCAATCTTTCACGAGGAAGCTCAGAAGTGCGACGCCAGGGCCTTTGAGCAGTTGATGCGTCACCTGAAGGAATTTGACCGAGATCACTCAACCGTCATCATGGTCCAGGTCGAGAACGAAACGGGCCTACTGGGTGACTCTCGCGATGGCTCTTCCGTGGCAGAGGAGCGATTCTCCAAACCAGTTCCCGATGATCTCATCAACTTTCTCGCCAACGACTGGGACTCTCTTCATCGAGACCTCAAACGCAACCTGGTTCGCTTCAAAGCCCAGACCAACCGTCAAGGGTCGTGGGCGGAAGTGTTTGGCAAAGGGCCACACACCGACGAGCTCTTCATGGCCTACCACTACGCCTTGTATGTCAACCAGGTCGCCGTAGCAGGCCAAGAAGAGTATGGTCTTCCGCTGTACGCAAACGCATGGCAAAACTATGCTGGAGAAGACAGCGATAAAAATTTCCCGGTTATCGTTGGCGGCGGCGGCATGCCAGGCGATTATCCCT